TATATATATATATATATATATATATATATATCATTTTATGTCACACACACAAAATTTTTATGTATTTACATATTTAACAGCTAAATATTTATATTTATTTACATAATAAAACTTTCTAAATCACATAAAAATACGACATATATTAAGTTATTTCAAGTAAAACATATATGTCATATTTTCATGTATATATTTTGGTGTGATTTAGATATCAAAATGATATAGAGGTAAATATAAAAGATTTAGATATTAAATATTAAATTACATAAAAGCTATATTTTTTAATTGAGCCACTTTAAATAGTATGAGGAATAGCCTTTAATAAATCAAAAAAATGTTAGTATATTTTCTTGAGAGCATAATATTATAAAAAAAATTTAATATGAGCTTTACTTTTATTTCAATTAATCAAAATATCATGCTTTTAAAATAATTTAAAAAGTTGTTAGAAGTTTAGCTTTTAAGCAATTTGGGGTGTGACATAGGCAACTAGGTTGTCTATATGACACCCAAAGTTGTTGGAACAAATAAAATAATTGTTTGTTTAATATATATTTTCATTGAACAAATAATTTTAAAAGCATTTTTATTTTATAATTTATTAAATGTTAGAAATTTAATTTATATTTACAATAGTTTATAGTCAAAATTATTAAAATATTTGCATAAAATTAATTGTGTACATTTTCTATGAAAACAAGGTTACATTTAAAATTTTTGGCCTACCTTACAAAGAAAGATAACAAATATTATTAAATGTTTGAAACTTTTTGTAATTATATATATAATTAGTTTATTTGCTAATTAATGAAAATAACTCTTATTACTTTTTATTAAACTAATTAAATATTAATGAAACTTAAATAATGCTTATTAACATTCATTATTAGTTAGTAATAATAATTAAATGTAAAAAGATACTTAATAAATTTAATTATAATAAAAAATATTTATATATGATAATTAAAGCTATTTAATTATAATAACAATAGCTATCACATACTTATTTTTGTAAATATTTCAATAGAAAAAAAAATAAAATTAGAATCTTCTGATTCAATGTATTTTAAAATAAATAAATATATTTTAAAAAAGATTGTTGATTGAACATTAATTCTTAACAATACTTTTTTTTTTGTATTAAAATAAAATATTTGCGCATGACATCTCTTTAATACTGCAAAGTATCATTACACCCCTAAATTATATCATGATCTTTCATAATTATGAGGATATACACTATTTATAACCAATCATAAATTATAGTAAAATTAGTTTAACGGGGCTATGCCTTATAATTTTTTCAAAAAAAATTATGTAAGAACTTTTATGTAACATGTTGTTCTTATCTTACTTATATGTGTGTTGAATCTTTATATTAAACTAATTTATTAAATATTTTTTTACTACTTGCTTGAATATGATAACATGCAATAATTTGCAATAATTTTATAATTAATACTTTAAATTTTCACGTGCACGCCGACTTAACAAGGCGAATCCTGAAGAAAGGAAGAAGAAGGAGATCTTGTTCTTTAAGAACTCATTCGCAGAAGCAAGCTAGTCGGAGAAGAAAGTATTTTCGGAGGTGAGTTGAGGAAGGATCAGTGCCGTGATGGTGGAGCAAATCGCGGCTGAGAGGTTTTGATCCGTTAAATTCCAGTGAGAAAAATCGGGATTGGACCGAGAGCTTCCGTCAGTATGTGTAATAAATCGGCTTGGTTTGGGTTTAGTGGGATCAAGAAAGGGGTCAAAGCCATTAGCACAAAACACTTTAAAGATCTAGGATCTCCAGATGGGATAATTTTCGGAGGTGAGTTGAGTTTGAACGATAGATTTCAGGTTTGAGACAACAAATTTTAGGGTAGAGGAGAGAACCGGAACATCCTGAATTAGGATTCTTCGCGTTCTTCGGTTTGAGAGGAAGCGGTGTTTGCCATCTTCTTTTCTTTAGATCACCCGCTCTGATACCATGAAGAAAGGAAGAAGAAGGAGATCTTGTTCTTCAAGAACTCATTCGCATAAGCAAGCTAGTAGGAGAAGAAAGCATAACTCAAGATTGAAGGAAAATAGTATATTATTATCTGTCTTGTACAGAGGACCTATTAGTCTATATATAGACTTTACATGATAGGGCATACAAGTTGTAGCCAATGAAAATAAGACACCTCATTATTTATTTATTTAATACATTTAGCTTTATCAGTTAATAAATCCAAAGAGCTTAAGATCGCTAAATTTCAACAGCATTAAGGCACTCAAATGTTGAACAAAAGCTCTATGGACATTGAAATCAATACGAGTAGTTTAACGGAGTATAATGGATTTTCTTTAAATTTATTGGACATGTCATTCTAAGAAAATCTATAAATAGATCGCTATATTTATATAAAGGAGACTCTTTGCTTGAGATTTAAGAGATGTCAAATGCTTAAAAAATCTTAGAGCTCCACCGGAGCACCGTTGCCATCAAACATTCATCGATTGACTGCAATCATCAAACCAACATTTGATCGCTGCCATCGGACCTTCACCACCTGACCACAATTGCAGAACCAATACAATCTTCAAACCACTAACATTAGATTGTCACCACCCGAAAGCGATTGTCAAACCTTTGCCGCCCAACCACTATCATTGGACTTCCACTGCATAAACACAATCATCGGACCACTGCCATCATAAAGACCACTAATGTTGACATTTCGCCGCTCGACCGCCATTGTTAGCCCATTGTCACTCAAACTCCATGATTGCATTGTACAATCAATGTCTGACCACCTCAATCACTAAGCCATTGCCGCTCAATCATTGCCATTACACTTTTGCCAAACTATCAAGACTATCATATCGTTCTCAATCGACCACAATCATTCGAACACCTTTTACCCTCTCATCGACTGTGTAATATTTTTGTCAAATTTTCAAACTCTTATAATCTTGTTGGATGGCCATATCTTTATAATTAACGCTAATATTATAGAATTGTTTAAGTTAGGCAAAGGCTCGAGATTTTTCTCCTTCTCATAATTTTCAGGTAAAGATTATAATTTCACATTACAATTTGTATATATTTTTTATATATCGGATCCTTCTTAAGACAGAAAATCCTCGTTTTTATCGATATAAATTTTCTAACCAGAAATGATAATTCTAAATATTATTTGACTTGAAGAATTCCTTTGGTTAGTTGAATCATAATTTTGCCCTTTAAATCCTAATAAATAAATAAATAAATAAGCAAAGATGTTACAAACTAAAATAAATAACAATAATAAAAAATAAAATCTTTATCTCCCCCATTTCGTTTTCACGTAAAAGTCCACTCTTTATCTCTAACTCCCTCGCCATAGCGACCAACCAGTTCATATCAGATTCCTACTCTACCCCTTTACATTAGATAAATTACCAAAGAACCATCTTCTTTCTGATTCTTCAAGCCACAACTCTAGTGATATTTCTGGAATACAAAAAGCTTTAAATTTTGAAAATCCAATTTCTACAAAGGCTGCACACCACTTGGTCAAAACATAAAACCAGAAAGAGAGAGAGAGAGAGGGAATGGAGAAGGTGCAATAAGGTCTACTCTACCCAAAGAAGTTATTAGTCTCTCTCGCTCTCTCCAATGTCGGCTCACAAAGAGAAAATCAATGCCATTCAGTTCTGACCCGGCTCTCTCTCTACCTTAAAGCCCTTAAAACTACGATCTCGGTGAAGAGAGAGTAGATTTGAAGGGTAATACAGCCGCCTTGATCTCCGAAACCCTAACGCCGAGGTGGCGCTGGGGTTGAAATGGGGAGCTTGTGGAAGAAGGCGAAGGTGGCGCTGGGGTTGAGCACTTGCGTTTTTGTGCCGACGGTTCAGGACGAGGAGGAAATCCTTCAGCCGGAAACGGGCAAGAAATCGCAAACTTCTACCGGAGATGCTGCTGCCTCGCTGGCTTCTTCTGGTCGTAATTCTCGCTTGGATCACGGCTTGTTGAGGCCGATTAAGCCGACCCCAAACTCTTCCAGACGTCTGATGTCGGAATCTGGTAGCAGATCTTGCAAGGTAAAATCTTTATACTTTTTCATGATTCGCGGTTGGTTATGATCTTCTGTTTTGCTTTTGGGGGTCTGATGTTTTTGGAGATATTTTTGGGCTTTTGTTTTTGGGTACCGCCACCGGCGAGCAATTTATTCTCAATGACATTTGCTATAGAGTTAGATTTTTTCATCTTTTCTCCCTACAACGCTACAAAGCTACTGATATCCAACACACAAACAGTAAATTCAAAAACACAAGATTTTTAACTTGAAAAATCCTATAAAATGGACAAATGATTCCACTAGTGTTTGAATATATTACAAATGATTGGTTTGTCCTTGAAATTGAGGATGATCAGATTAAATAGTCAACATTACGGGTTAAAATCTATTGACGAACGGAGATTGGATGGAAATCCGGTGACATACGATGGTCGGGCAAAAATTCATCGTCAGTTGGCGGCGAGGTGGAAGTCTGACGTCAGTTTGTGGCCGAGAAGAAGTCCGGGGACAGTCAATGGCCGGGTGGAAGTCCGGTGTCAGTTGGTGGCTCGACAAAAATCCGGCATCCGTTGGTGATCGGGCAAAAGCCCGACGATGGTCGGTGGTCTGACGGTGTTCAAGTAGGAGTCTGGTGGCAAGAGAACTCTAGTTTTTCTCTCTCCTTTCTCTTCTTTGCTTGGGTTCCCCTTGATTGTGGTCTGTTTACTGGACATTTGAATATCTTAATGATATCAGAATTTGATGATCTTGGGCTCCTTGGATTCGTCTCGTCAACCCGCTCAATTCTACTATAAGCATGTCATGTTTTGAGATCGTTTGGTCATCCAATTTATGGTTTGAACTAGATAAAGGCGTTTCGGGTCTTCGATTTGGACCCATTTGGGCTCGGATTGAGTCAAATTTGGTGTCGTTAGGTTCGTTTTTTCAAGATGTTTAGTTCGACTGTAAGTTTATTGAGATTAGAGTTCATATGGTTTCGAATTTAATTTCGGAAGTTTTCAACTTGATTTTGCCTCAAGATTCGCGCCCAATCAAGATAATTTTTTTGATGATATATCAAGTATATTAGGATAGAAAATACTGTTTCAAATTTTGTAAATTTAGGATTAAATTGAAAACTGTTTTAAACAATGTTTGCTTACTTTTAGTAATTAGTTTGACTATTCATTCTGGATCTAAAATTTTATGCGAGAGAGAAATTTTTAGATCTGTTCAATTTTATGAATAGTGGGATTTAATTATGAACTAGGCTAAAATTGGAGGATTTAAAGTCCTAAAATTTCTGATTGAGAGGAAACTTTGCTTAAATTCTGCTTAAAATAGGATACCAAACAAACCTTTAAGTAAATCTTGGAAGGATTAAAATATGAAATTTTTTTGCTAAATCCTAATAGATTGTTGGACTTTTTTCTTTCAAGCTTTAAAATTTACGAGAGTGATTACTTTAATCTGTTAAATTTTATGAATAATAATATTTAATAAAATTTGGATTTAATCAATAATGACGCTAAAATGAGATTATAAAAATATTAAGGTTGTACCAAAATTTTGTTTGAACTAAATGGTGCATAAATCCTGCCTAAATAAGGAACAAATATTTTGCTGCAACTTTGCACGCTAGTTTTTGTCATTAGAGACCTGATTTGGCTTGAAGGATTATCACTGCAAAAATTGATTTTTCTAACCACATTGGTTTTCCTTCTTTCTTTTAATTTTTCCTTTCAATAGGGTGTGGTCGACCAGTTGGTTGTTTGCGAGTGGTTGCGATTTGTCTTACCTAAGAAAGGTTGAGAATACGTTACTCTAACGCTTGGACAAAAATGGTAGTTCCTTCTTTGGTTGGCAGCAATGCTATTCAACTATTAATGTGTTTTTAGCGTGTTTTGTCCTTTCCTTTTGTTATTCTTTTCCTCATTTGCCTGCCACCTATTTTCTTATTGTTGGATGATGCCTATTAAGATTTTTTTGGGGACTTTGAGCTAGTTTAGAATTCATTGGGGACGGCTTTCTTATTGATTCTTTAAACAGCTTTTTTTACTAGAAAACTGCTTTAAGAAGCAATAAGAAAGTCGTCTCAAACGAAGCTTTAATCACAAACTGACAGACAACCATATACCCAAGACTTTATGGTTGGAACCGAATTACCTAACCATCAGGCCAAGATGAGTTTTGTGTATTAAGATTGATGATGGAAACTATCAAGCCTCTATTAATTAAGAAAACGAGGAGGATTCATTTAAGATTTTACTTATCAAACAGTTTGAGGTATCTAGCTATGGATTTATTATTATTATTGGGATCATTAAAATTCCTATATGATTAATCACTAATCTTGATGTGGAGCATATATCTCAAAACAACATGAAAAATGGAATTGATTACCATTTTATTCAAATTGATCAACTCATTGATCATGTGATTCATCCTGCAGAGATTTGGATTTCTCAAAGTCACTGTGATCTCCACAAACCATTGTTTAATAAATTTCTTATAACAACATGGCTTCTCAAGGAGAGGATCTTAACCATGTAAAAATGACAATACATTGTTATCGTTTTTTTATAATCTCAATTTTGAGATTATGAATATTCTCAAAATTATTCTTGTCAAGCTGATTGGCAAAATTTCAATCTTTTCACCATGATGTGTTGCTGATGTTGAGGCTTACGATGTGGTGTATTCAGATAGTGGATAATATATCTTTAGTGATGAATGTTGTGAGATCACTACTGAACCGCCTTTGTCTGCCTCCCGAGTGAGTTTTATCTCAATAGGCCAATCATGTTAGTCTAGATGCACAATCCTTTGATTTTCGTTGTTGATTTTATAAGTAATATTTTCCTTGTGGGCCAATCAATAGTGGAACTAGCTTTTCTTTTGAGGGTGGATAAACATAGCTGCAACTACATACAAACACCAGGTGTAGCAATGCTATCATGTGCAGGCAAACTTTATAGGCGGCGTCGACGTAGCGAGCGAGTAATAGGTGAAGTGGTGGCCTGGTGCAGGCAATATGAGGCTCAAACGTAACCCCTTATTAGTTGAAGTTAATTTTGAGGTGGGAAATTGCTCACCCTCAACCATCTTGGGTTTTGCCTATGCCTATTGGCCAATGTTACGTTCATCCCTCACAAGTCTTACATCAAAGATGCCTCCCATAAGGCATGTGCCATATCACACTATGATTCTCTCTCAAAAATCCTGTACCTCGATTATCTCTAACAAAACTTGTGCCAAAGTTTTTTTTACCATGATCTTCACCGTGATGGTTTCCCATAAGATTTGCATTGTAGTCATCTCTTTCAAGGCATGCACTTTATCCGTTTGTCTCCATATTTGCATTGCGATCATCTCATCTCTATTGCAGCCGTTTCCTTTAAGACTTGCGCCAGTGATGCCTCTCTCAAGCCTTATGTCACTGTCTCTTATAAGAGCTGCACCACGACAGCCTTCTTCAAGACATGCGCCATTGATGTCTCTCTAAGCTCTTTGGCCACCATCTCTTATAAGACCTCCACTGCAGCCATCTTTCTCAAAGCCTGTATTGTGTTGTAGCTGTCTTCCTCATAGTTGCTGCTACCCCATAGCCATCTCTTGCTAAACCTTCATTGCTATTGTCTCAAGTTAGGTTACACTGCAATTGTCTCTAGCCAGACTTGCAGTGTAGTTTTATGTAGCACGACCTACGCTATAATCTTTTATGACTTTCATCACTGTCTTATTAAACTTTTGCCACAATTATCTTTTTCAAGACTTTCGCTTCAATGGTATCTCCTAAGACTTGCATTACAACCTCTTCTCATCAAATATGAACCCCAACCATCTTTGTTACTGCTAGTACCATAATTGTATCTTTCAAAACCTTTGCCATAATTATCTCTGGTAAGATCTATGACCTGTAGTCTCCAACAGAACCTGTGCTGCAGCCATAAACACTTGATGCTGTAATGATTGATGTATTGTTCTCATATCAACTTAGACGGCAATTCTTTTGCATTGTATTGACTCTTTTGCAGCATATGGAGAAAAACTGATTCATTTTATATTTTTTAGACTAGTAAAAATTGTTTAGCAAAGTAAGACATCACAGGTTTTTTCTTTTCTTTGATTTTACACAAAAATTCACAATTCCTACATTCCAATTCTCTTAATTGTTTGTGTGTATATGATCTAAAAATGCCTAGTCAATTGAGATCGACCCTCACTTTACTAGTTCAATTTATTTTATACAATAATTTGATGTGATGTGTGGAAAATCATCTCGCTCTCGTTGATCAACTATTCAAGTGCAAGAACTTTAACATCTTTCATCCATATACCTTATTCATTGTAAGCAATAATTATGTCAAAAACACTACTTGGGGAAGTCCCACTCAACCATCAATGAACAACGATACACTCTTTCAAGCACATCATAAAAATAAACGACGATGCCTCAGTAAGAAGCAAATTAAAAATGGGGGAAATTCTGGCTCTAACCTCAAAAGAATGTTCTTGTCGGCATTATGATATGATTATCTTCAAATGGTACCGTATTGTTGTAGTGGGTATATTCATCAAAATTATGTTGTACATCAACACACATTGTCATGTAAGGACCGACCATCTCGTTTACAAATTTGTTCATTCCATCAAAAAAATAGGATTGATAGTGCCAAGAAGTCCTTCTAACTTGCTTCTTATTACTGATAATTAACTATTAAGATAATACTTTGATAATTTAAAATTTAACCATGCTTGCCAAAAAGTTCAACTTAAAATCAAATCAAGTAAATTTCATCTATTTATAGAAGAAGGTTGCTTTCTATAAAAGAAAGAAACTCATAATGGATGTCATTTGACCAAAGAACGCTTTCTTTCCTAACATCCTAATGATTGAACATAAGTTTGCTAAGAACACCTGTAATCGATCTCTGGAAAGCCTTTAAAACTCAGGCAAAGAGGAAAGAAAAAAAGGCATACTTTACATGTTTTATGGTGTTTCGAGTCTACTTTCGAAGGTGCAATGAACTACAAAAAATCCATCCAGCAAGGCCTCAAATGGAAGAATCTTTCCAAGTTGCTAATGTAGATTTGTGTTGCTTATGGCAATCCCCAAGCATTTTGCGTGTCATGTTATGTGAACTATTTTTGAATTATTTCACAGAAGAATTTTGAGAGGTAGAAGATGCTTTTATAAAGTTTTTTTATTAGATTCAAAGTGAATTGTCCTATATATTAAAATCCATAATATAGAAGAAGCAATAAGTTGAAAGCACTTAAGTATTAGGTTTTGGCCATCAAATGCAAATGTGTTCTCCAAATAACATGGTGCAGTCAATATTTTTATGTAGGGATGTAATTGAGTCGAGTCGAGCCCGAGCTCGAGCCAACCCTGGCTTGAGCTTGAGCTTGATTAATTAATCGAGTTCGAGCTCATGCTTTATTCTACAAGTTCAAGCCGGCTCTCATTTACTTTGAAAGAGAAGAAATAATTATGATTTAAACAATTATTATAATAAAATAATTAAAAGAATGCAAAATAAGAAGAAAAGTCATAAATAATAACTTAATATAATAAAGTGAGCTATAATTTTAAAGCATTTTAAACAATTTTATATTTAAAATCATGAATGCTAATATATTTTAAATGCATTTTATACTAATATTTTTTAAATGAGCCGGCTTACGGGCTAACAAGTCGAATTAGGGATGGCTCAAGCTTGGCTCGTTTTCTCATCGAATTCACCTCACGAGCCATTTATTGAGCTGAGCCCGAGCTAGCTCACAAGTCAACTTGACTCACTTACACCTCTATTTTCATGTATTCCTCAACCCCTTCATTTTTTAGTAGACTCCCTTTATTTCATGAGAAACCAGGTCATTTGCATAATATCAAACAGCATAATCCTCTCCACTAAATCCAAATATGATGTTCGTGCAACTCCAACTACTATCAGTTGCAACTCCAAGGTCATAATGATGGTCTATAATCTTATTAGACATCCTTTATTTTCAATAATGATTCGCACTCATTCCTCCACCATAGCCTTTAAAGGGCAAAACATCATACAACTCATCTATTGTTCACAACTTGACATCAAGTACCCTCATAAACATCATGTCATCATCCTAAATGACATAAGTTGCCTATATCACTAACATCATTATAATTGTCCCTCGTAAGACGTGCACTATAGCCATCTCCAACAAGACTTACGTTGCAGCTTTCTCCAACATGGCATGCCATAATTGCCTTTAGCATGACCTTCATAGCCCATCTCCATCATGACCTACGCCATGACCATCTCTCACAAGACTTGCATCATAGCCATCATACTTGATCCAAATCGTTCTCTTATAGGCTTGCTTATAGAGATCAAAGCTCTGATCTTTGTGGCTAGCTTATAAAGTTTGAAGCTGCAAATGTGTCAATATGAACGGTTCTAATGTTGGGAATTTTTATTAGCCACCTCTTTAATTTTTTCACCTTTTCAAAATAAATAAGATGGACCTTTGAGGGCCAGTCTAGAATTTAGTGGTTGCATCGCAATATTTGCTGAACAGTGCTATGAAGTTTTGCGGCCTGTTTTTTGATTCCATACTTCTTGCAAATAAGGTGTTTGGATATTCAACAGTATTGAGATTGAGTTCATTGCTACAACAAGAGATGTCCTAGTTCCAACTTCAGGAATGATAAATGCCAGAATGAAGATTTTCCTCTTTTTTTTTTATATGATGCACCGATGCATCGATTTATGAAGGCATGCTATATCGGATATGTGTCGGACATGTATACACGTCTGATACGTCACCGTTACATGTAGGATACTGCAAAACCATATCCAATTAAAATAAGATTTAATTTCGAAGGACACATGTATCGGATATGCCTGTCCCATTTAAAAACGATTTTTTTTAAAAAAAATGACGCAAAGAGAGAGGGCTAATATTGAGAAGTTGCTTGAGCCAACCAAAGTAGTATGGAAGGAAAAAGGAGTTACTAGACATTTAATGCTTACTTTTATTTTGATATTATAAGCTACAATGCTATAAATGATGTTGTTTTCATTTTTTTTGTCATTTAAAATATTATATTTTAATTGCTTTCTTAATTTTTAGGTATGATTTATAAATTATAATACCGTGTCCGCGTCATACCTGTATCATGTATTTTTAAAAATTGATGTGTCATGTATCCGTATCGTGTCGTATCCGTGTCGGTGCAACATAGCATTTTTTGCAAAGAATAATCTTTCTTCATGCTGGAGAAGGCCTGAATAGGTTTTCTGTGACTTTATTTCTTTTGTTCTGCGCACTTACGAACTGCTCCCTTTCGAACTTAAAATTATGGGAAATATACTTTCATAACTTTGTTATTCTCCCAACTTCTCTTCTTCCAGAAAACATGTGCTATATGTTTGGGCAATATGAAAACAGGCCATGGTGCCCTCTTCACTGCTGAATGTTCGCACGTATTCCATTTCACCTGTATCGCTTCAAACGTTAAGCATGGAAATCGTGTTTGTCCAATTTGCAGAGCTAAATGGAAGGAGGTTCCTTTCCTAAGTCCATCTTCTGACCTTCCTCTTGGGAGAGCCAGAGTAAACCCAGTTAATTGGCCACAAGAAGTTGGGACAGTAATGCTTTTGCGTAGATCTATTCATTCAGGTTCATTCAACAGGCAACATCATCTGGCCTCTCTTTCTAACATCTCTGAGCCAAATGATTATGACGATGATGAACCTGTAGAGTTTCTGTTAGAAACAGTCAAGGACTCTCAACATAGATCAACCAGGACAATTGATGTCAGGGCATACCCCGAGTTCAGTGCCATACCAAAAATGGCTTCTGAAGAATCCTTCTCTGTACTAATCCACTTAAAGGCCCCTTGTGCTGTTGCAAGACCTCCCCAGTCTTATGGAAACCAGAATGCAAGCCTGACAGCATTACAGCCTTCTCGTGTCCCCATTGATCTAGTAACCGTGCTTGATATCAGTGGCAGCATGGCTGGCACAAAGCTTGCTCTACTGAAACGTGCCATGGGCTTTGTCATCCAGAATCTTAGCCCTTCTGATCGACTTTCGGTCATCGCCTTCTCTTCCACTGCACACCGCCTTTTCCCTCTTCGCCGTATGACCGAGCCTGGCCGGCTCTATGCATTGCAGGCTATCAATTCTTTGGTTTCAAGTGGTGGAACCAATATTGCTGAGGGACTGAGGAAAGGTGCCAAGGTGATTGAAGAGAGGAGGGAGAAAAATCCTGTAAGCAGTATCATACTCCTTTCAGATGGTCAAGACACATACACTGTCTCCCCAGCTGGTAGCCGCGCAAATCTTACATTCTCAGACTACCAATCTCTCCTGCCTTCCTCCATTCGTTGCGGTACCGGGCATCAAATTCCTGTTCACGTTTTTGGCTTTGGTGCAGACCATGATTCTGTTTCCATGCATTCAATTTCAGAGACTTCAGGTGGCACCTTCTCATTTATTGAGTCTGAGCTTGCAATCCAGGATGCTTTCGCACAGTGCATTGGTGGGCTTCTTAGTGTCTTGGTGCAAGAATTGATTGTTGAGATCGAGTGTGTACACCCTGCTATGCACCTTTCTTCGATACAATCAGGCAGCTATGCCAACAGAGTCATTGATGGAATGAAAGGTTCAATCAGTGTTGGAGATCTGTATGCAGATGAAGAGAGGGATTTTCTGGTTTCTGTTAGTGTTCCACCTGTGAATGATGAAGAAATTGTGCTGTTAAAGGTTTGTTGCTCCTACAGAGATCCATTGTCTAATGAGAAAGTGAATGTAAAAGACAAAGATGTTAGAATCCAAAGGCCAGAATATTTAGCAGAAAGAGTGACATCTATTGAAGTAGACCGCGAAAGGATTCGGGTTTGGGCAGCCAAGGCAATGGCAGAGGCAAGGATGGCGGCCGAGCGGGGCGCCCTTTCTGAAGCTGTGTCGATTCTTGAAGCTCAGCGTTCCGTACTTTCGATGTCGGCCGCCAGACGATCAGGCGATCGGCTTTGTCTTTCTCTTGATGCTGAGCTGAGGGAAATGCAGGAGAGGATGGAAAGCAGGCAGAGGTATGAAGAATCAGGAAGGGCTTATATGCTTTCAGGGCTGAGCTCTCATTCATGGCAGAGAGCTACTACCAGAGGAACCTCCACCGATAGTTCTGGTCTTACTCATTCCTACCAGACGCCATTGATGGCTGACATGCTTCAGCGTTCACAGACATTACTGCTATCACCTAGGCATCCACGGCCAGTCATCCGGCCTACTTACTCCTTTTCTTCCAGGCCAAATTCAAGGTAATTTCTGCATTTCTGCTTCTATTTTGTTCTACTGTTGTGGGTATAGGAGAACGAAAGCTTGGAGCTAAAAGAAGTAAATGGCTTCACTTCATGGGGGTATACTGAGGTTTCGTTTGGGACGGCTTTTTTACTGATCTTAAAGCAGTTTTTTAGTTATAAAAATTAAAAATTTTAAACTATAAAACTGTTTTAAGAAGCAACAAAAAAATCGTCTCAAACAAAGCCTAAGAGTGCCTCGCGGAATTATGATTTCAAATGATAGGATGAAAAAAATCTCTCAAAATTTGATAGAGATGAAGCTTTTATAACATAAATAATTACAAGAAATTTTAAATATAAAATTTTACATAGTTACGAAGGATTTCCTTAATTTTAAGAGGATGAAAGGCAGCCCCAACTGCTCTAATTTCAACTAGATATACTACTTCGAAAGAATAAAATCAGTTGAGTTTGGGCAAAATTGTGAAAATGTGGAATGGTGAGGTGTTTTTTGTGAACTATGGGCTTTATTATTTATTCATTAAATTGTATTTCTTGTGGTTATTGATGTAATACATTCTTTCCCTTTAAGAAGGGGTATTGTTGTAATATATGACTTATTTGGGTACATTCATGAACTTTCCAACATCTACACTCTCCTATAAATTTATTAAATTAATTGGATGTATTTATACATTAGTATTATTTTTAAACTTAACAAATTCCTCTAAACCCTTTTGGTGCAATATTTTTATTTTGTTATACAAAATAAATAAATTAAATTATATGACTTTTGCAAATGTATTATTTTCATTGATTAATATCTTTATGTTTCTAATTATGTTTCAAGTGTCTGATACAGATTATCATTTGGATCTTGATCAAATTACGTTTAGTATCAATGTATTATTTTCATTGAGATATTCAATTTAACTATAAATTTGTTGAAATAAGTTCATATAATTTTGAATTTAATTTAACAACCGCTACTAATTTATAATTTAAATATTTTGCTCACAAAATCATCTCATTTAGTTTTTTTTTATTCGATATTCTAAAAGATTTACATATAAAATGCATAAGCAATATAAAATCATAATTGACAGTACTTAAAATATCAAATCTGAATAAATACCCTATCAAATAAATGATTTAATACTCTATTGGGTGATTAGATGATTATATCAGATGCTTTAGAGGTATGACAAAATTATCATCCCTTTGGATAATATCTATGATTATGAACAAATTGCTTATATAGATAATATATTATTTATGGGTGTCTATAAAGATTAAATATTAATATAAGACTAATTTCTATCTTTATATAGATCTTAACAACTTTTTTTTATGCATGAGAGCCCCTCGTGATATCTTCAACTGAACAACGTATTTTTCACTTCAAAATGCAGTAACAATCATATCAAACAAAATCAATTAATCAATACACCACCATATGTTTCTACCGCCGCTCCATATGTTTCTCTCGCCGCATCGCTCGGGTTCCGCATCCACCTGGTGCCAACGCTCTCAGGGAAGCCTCCGCCTCCTCTGTTTAGTTGATTTTCTCTTTACGCTTTCTCGTTTTTCCTCCTCCGGCCCTTGTGGCCGGAATGGCAGTGAAACCTTGGGTTGATCTTGATTTTCTGGACGGGTCGACTAAATCCCGATCTTTTGTTGATGATTTGTCTAGTTTTTTTTCCTCGGATACTCGCTTTCCTAATATCAAACCCTCTTTGTTTCGTGGTTTGCCATCTCTTTGAATTTCGGATGTAGAGATTCTCGCGCTTGCGGCTCCTATGCAGTTCCCATTGGTTGGTTTTTTTTTCCTCTCAACATGAGAGTCTCGATGCTATTCGGAAGTTTTTCTTTGCTCTTAAGCTTAATGGCAATTTTTTCTGTAACTCTAAATCTCTAATGGATCAGTCCCATGTGCTGATTAAGTTGGTGAATGACTTAGACTATAGCTGAGTTTTCTTTCATATGTCCTATTTTGTTAACAATTTTACATGAAGTTAACCAAATCATCTCCTCTTCTTGATATTGGTGTGGAGTCTCCTGTCATACCTATCTGGACTTCTTTTCCCAACTTGTGGCTACATTTTTTCACCCCGTATTCTTTATGCTTTTTGTTCTTTATTTAACCATCCACTGAAGGTGGATCATGCGATCTCTGTTGCGCAAGTGTTAGTCAAGTTTGACATTACTAAAAAATATTCTAATAAAGTTTGGATTGGTCCTAAAAAGCTTGGTTACGTTCATCAATGTTGTGATGGAAGAGTTTCCCCATTTTTGTGTGCAATGTAAACCAATAGGTCATTTGCCTGGTGAGTGTCGTTCTTCTATTCTGGTGTTTGATTCGATTAATCATAATAATTATGGTGTAAAGGTTAATGTTGTGGTTGAAACTCTGCTTAGTCCTATTGAGGTTGTGGTTGATGAGGAGATTTGTGGATAATGACAATGGTAACTCTGAGGATGTTGTTCTTGTTGCGGAGACAAGTTATATGTCGTCTGATGTCTTGCATGTGGCTCATTTTTCTGGAATTAATGAGGGTGTTATTGTGGTTTCTGAGTCGAATCCTTGCTTAGTCAATTTAGTAGCTAGTCCTAATGCCTCTCCTATCTCTAATGTTGTTATGGTTCATGAGCCGAACCCTTGCTTAGTCAATTTGGTAGCTAGTCCTAATGCCTCTCCTGATTTGAATGTTGTCGGTGATGGTGAAGTTGCAGTTTTTCATCCTGGGGACCGTGAGATTGATTGCCCTACTACTGCGAATGATGACGTTCATTTGGACTCTCCCGTTTGTTCTCTTGATTATTTTCCTGATGGTGATGAGGATGTGCCTCTTATTGATGTGCCTATATCCGTTATTTACAATAATGCTTTGTTAGCTCACCTTGCTTGTAATTTGAGAGATCATGGTGACTGGTTTGATGATGATATTTCTTTAGCTGGTGGGGAGGGAGCTAATGAGAATGTTTTGTATTCTCGGGATAACTTTGATTTAAATATTATTCAAGTTGTTGACGATGGTTTTTTTAAGAGATTGGTAGGCGTAGACGTCGTAAATCCAAACATAAATGAGTTTTCTTTTTGGATTTGGGTGTCTTTTTTCGTTGTGGTCTCTTTGTTGGGAAAAGTTATTACGTCCGAACAAAAAACTGGAAATCCGGACGTATACCGAGTAATACCGAGTGCTCGGTATCGAGCTCCAGGTGACGTGGCGCTTTGTTATTGGTCTCTAGACACGTTCGGTGTCCGGACACAATAATTACTCCTTTTGTTGGGGCTAGATTGATTTGTTGGAGTTTTCTGGCCGTTTTGGTGGATATGTTTGGTAGCTTTGGTTGGTGGCTTGCCTTTGCGATTTTTGATGGTCTGAGCAATGATGTGGTGGCTTTTTGCTCACCGCCTGGACAATTCTGGCTTGTTGGCAACCATTGGTTGTGCTTCCTCTTCTTTATTTGGTGGCATTTATGTGGGATGTGTGATTATGCTTGTCCTTTTGTGTATTCATCGGTGTGGGTTGTTGCTTGCTTCCTCCTCTCGATGGTCCTTGCCTAGCTTTCGGGTGATTGCAGAAAGCTTGTTGCCAATGACTGAGCTCGACTGGCTTTTCTCCTACATTTTTTGTTCTCTTCTTTATGTTGTAGCACCATACTTTTTTACTTTGTCTTTTGTTGGTCAAATTTGTTTCCTTCTTTTATTAAAGAAATTTTATCTTTTGAAAAAAAAAAACAAAAAAAAAAACCAAGAAATAATCATATCAAACACTAATTCATCTACAATCAAACTCCTTTTCTAACACCAAAATAACTATTCTTTGTATATTCTTTCTCATCATATTTAAATAAATTAATTACGTATAAACATATTAAAATTGAAAAATTAATAACATAAATTAAACTACTATATTTAGGATCAAAATCTTAAAATTTAATAATTTTAGGATAATTTTATAATTAAAAAAATGGGTGTATGAACAGTTCAATATCAATATTGACGTCGCACTGTTCACAGATGCAAAAATACAAGTACGAATGTGTTTCAGATGGACAACTCATAGAACTGCAAATGACCATATCCAGTTCTGTTGGATATGCCCTCACATCCTGTATAACTCCTCTAACAATGCTTGTTAGCATCATTAAATATCACACATCAAGAGCTCAGTTAAGTAAATAATGCCTACTCAAATATATGTAGTGCTTATTAAAGAAAGCTAGAGAGAACACCACCAAATAAGAGGAGAAAAGATCTTCATCTGAGAGAAAAAAAATATTAATTTTGGAGCCTAGTTGGTATCACATTCATTTTATTTTTTTTTTATTGTGTTTATATTTTAATATAAGCTAAAATATTTTTGATATCAAGATGTTGATCTATATAATAATGACGGTGATCGTCGACGGTGCAATAGTTGTGACCAACAAAGCGATGATGATCGCCGGCAACGATAAATACATACTTTGTACCAGAAGATAATAGTTATTCTTAAAAGCATTCAAAACACCTCAAAATTACTCTTAACATTTTTAAAATTAATTTGATTTGCAAATGTTTTAAAAAATTAAAATATATATTAAAGTAATCCTAAACAAACCTTTAGTATCTTGAAAAAGAAGCTGTGATTTATAAGCAATAATGAAATATATGAAGATTTAGGCTTCGTTTGGGACCAAACAGCTTTCTTATTTCTTCTTAAAGCAGCTTTATAAAAAATAAAAAATTTGTACTAGAAAGCCGCTTTACGAAGTAGTAAGAAAGACATCCCAAATGAAGCCTTAGGTTTCATTTGAGACCAAACAGCTTTCTTATTGCTTCTTAAAGCAACTTTCTAAGTTTTAAGAAGCAGTAAGAAAGCTGTTCCAATGAAATCTTAGGCTTCGTTTGAGATAATTTTCTTACTGTTATTTAAAGCAATTTTCTAGTACAAAAAAAAAATTTGTTTTAAGAAGCATTAATAAAACCGTCCCAAACGAAGTCTTAATTATTTGATAATAGAGCAATTACTGCACTCAGTGTTTTCCCTTTTTCTGAGTAGGTCTCATGTCTGTAGCAAACAGCATGGGCTGCTGAAGCTGGTGGCACATTACTTTGCTTGCATTCCCAGTTATTTCAAACATAAACAACCATTCCAACCTCCTTCCTAACTTAAACTAAAAGAAAATATCCTTAAAAGCCATAAAAACAACAGATCTGAGCTATCCTTTCCTTCCCAAATGAACTGAACTGTTACTGTTACTGTTCTTTCATTATATGCATGGTGGAATGTAGTTATCTTCCACCTTAAAGTATTGGTGAACTGTGGAGTTTGGAGTGAACCTTACAAATTGCCTGAAACTTTATCCTGCTAGTTCAGAGAGTGGCTAAAGAAGATAATTTGATTGACTGAAGAAGTACTCAGAAGTCAAGAAGAGCTTAATGTAGAAGCCTTTTCATTGAAGGATAGAGCAAGGTAGAATGATAATTAGCTTAAATGTTTAAGATGAATTGTACTACAAGGGATGAAGGAATTGCTAATTGGTTTGAATCTAAATAATACCACATCCATATTCATTAAGCATTGATCAAAATCTAATTGATCAAGTTATCCCTACCACCTCGATGACACAAATGAAATTTTAAGGGGTTGTTTGGTAGCACCCAGGATTTGATTTAAGTAGGATTTTCGTAAATCCACTAAATCCGGATTTCAGAAATCCTGAGGGGCCTAAATGATTAAAACTGTTTGGTAACATTCATGAAAAATCTTATTAAATCCCGTGTGATTGTTTGGCTATAGGACGGATTTAACGAGTGGATCGAGCCAACGGATTTCGTAAATCTTACAAAAAAAAAACAGGATTTAGGAAATCCGGGATTTAGTGCGAAAAGGTGGAATTTTCCATCTACGACGGCTTTCATATGCAGTGAGATTTGGTTTTGCATTTTAGGCCATTTAGCTGGATTTCACTCAAATCTGCCTCAAATCCAGCCTAAATCCTGCGACCAAATAGCCCCTAAAGACGATTTTTTTAGGAAGGTAGAATACAAGGACATGAAGAACGAAGGGTAATAAGTTAGAGAAATACTCATGGGCTCATGGCAAAGGTGAGCTCCTAAGTAATGAACAATCATAAAGAACATTTTGGCATAAAGGAGAGGAAAGAGTTACTCGGTAGTACGACAGCTAGAAGAGTGAACATTTTATGGAGCTGAGAGGAATCACTTAAGATGATGAAGATGTCATCGTTCCTTTATCAAACCATAAATATTTTGCAAATTTTAACTAAAAATGGAGGTTTTAAATGTAAAATTAAGCTTCCTATCAATCACAATTATATTAATAATGTAAAATTACACAATAATAAAAATAAGAGAAATGATTAAGAGGAGTCAAATCATCCAATTAACTAAATTTGACTCCTGATCTTTTCCTTTCAATAGAAAAAAAAAAGGGCTCATAAAAAAAAAACTTCTAATAATTGGCAGGTAATGATTAAAAAGAGTGTAATTTACAAGATATAATGGACTTCTTTGACAATATTCATAAGATTCCGTCACCGTTAAATTGACCCCAACAATGGACGGTCTCTGTACTCTCACTAACGCCGTTAATTGCTACGCGCCTCCCCAATCGAACATAAATGGGCGCAATCTCTTCTCCGGCAAGAGCTCCTCTCTCTCTCTCTCCCCCCCTCTCTCTCTCTACCTTTGCAGTCGATAAAGAGTGAGGGAGAGCTCGGAGGGAGTATCGAGGTAAGCTTTGATTGAAGAATTCCGCAACTTTTTTTAATTTTTTTTGCAGATTTTATGAATTCCGGAAAGTCGTTTTCATGATTTTCGCTGCTTAAACAGTACTTTTGACTGTTTCTTTTATAGCTAGATGGACACTGAATCGTGGCTTTATAGCTCAGTAAAAGATCCATTACATAGTTCTGATTTAGGAAATTATATACTGAACAGCAATCAAATCTTTGTATTTCTAAGCTAAAATTTTCCTATAATTAATCAGGCCCTTGCTCTATTTAACCTTTGATTGATTGTATTTATATTTCTTTCTTCGTCTAAACAATCTTGATTTTGTGTTTTCAGTTTAAATCCCTAATATGACAACTCTTGATTGCAATAATTCCATTCAAAGACGATAGCTTGTTGCATTGTCTTGCATATCCATTTACTTGGATCTGCTTTATCATGCCTAAAACTGAAATATAGCTGTGTACTTTTCAAACGATTTATGAATTAATTAAGGAGTTCATTGCCTTGTAAGTTTTCTTAGAACAGCATTGCACCAACCGTGGTTGAATAGTTATATTTGTAGAGGGGTTTGAACCAACTACCTTATTTTTGATCCTGGAAAGTGGTAGGTAATACCACCTAATTGCTTTATGGTATATGTTAAGTAGAGTAAATGATATTTAATTTTGACTTTTAGATGTTTGGTTACTTCAGGGTTTTGTTTTTATATTGGAAAATTAAGAACAAAAAATAGCGAGGTAAAGATGGTGGAGGGATCTGGGTTTCAGCTGGGCGTGGTTGGGTCGCTGGCTCTCTCAGTAGCATCATCAGTTGCTATTGTTATCTGCAACAAGGCGCTTATGAGCTCCCTCGGCTTTCCTTTTGGTTTGTCTCTCCTACTAGATTAGTAGTTCATTGGTGAATTAAAATGTAATGTTTCTTTTCTCATTATATCATTCATCAAATAGTTATTGTTCTCATATGCATGATAGAAGCATATGTTTGTGTTAAGCTTTTATATATTTCAATCTTTTAAGGTGCATGGAGCTTTAGGAGAGTTTTGTATTTAGGTTTGCTACATTTCACTTTAGGACAGCTATGGTTTGGATCAACAATGAATCAAACCACTTAGGCTTCATTTGGGACGGCTTTCTTACTGCTTCTTAAAGCAGCTTTTTAGTACAAAATTTTTAATTTTGTACTAAAAAGCTGCTTTAAGAAGCAGTAAGAAAGTCATCGCAAACGAAGGCTTAGTTAACTATATTTGTTTTAGATTGTTAGGCGCCTAACCTCTAAATTTTATTTGAATTGGGTTGAGTTACAATGAATGTAAGGCCTGATCAAAACTATTCAAAAATGATCGGAGCAACCCTGGAATATTCTCTTTTTAGACGGTCATGGTTACTTCAAAGAGTTCAGAATAATCAAATCCTTAATGTGGCAAATAAATTTGAACCATCAACATATATCTTATGGGTTTATTGTAGCTAACTAGTTGTCACATGAAACACATTTAAATAATAATTAACTTGTGCATTTTGCGTTAGACTGTAGGACTCAGGTTGGAGCCCTGATGGGGTAGGAAAAAGTGAAATTCCTTTTTTATCATATTTCCCTTCAATCAAACTTGTCTGATTCAAATTGAGATTTTGTTTTTTCATCTAAGAAACTATCTGGTGTGTGGATGGAACAGCGACGACCTTGACAAGTTGGCACTTGATGGTGACATTCTGCACTCTTCATGTAGCACAGAGGCTGCATTTTTTTGAGCCGAAAGCCATTGACGGTCGCACGATTGTCCTCTTTGGCTTCCTCAATGGCACCTCCATTGGCCTCCTCAACCTCAGTCTTGGCTTCAATTCTATTGGTTTCTACCAGGTTTGATCAACAGCCAAATCCTGATCAAATAGCCCTCCTTTCTGAGTTTTTATCTATATGATCTTCAGTACCATTTTCCTGCAGATGACAAAACTGGCCATCATTCCTTTCACTGTCATGCTGGAAACAGTTTTCCTCAACAAGAAGTTCAGGTGATCGTGATAAAGCTTCGTGTTCATTAACACAACATTTAATGCTTGCTCGGTTCTTAAGTGGCATGAGAATTGTTGCATGAAATTTAGGCTTTGTTTGGAACGGCTTTCTTCCTGCTTCTTATAGCAGCCTTTCAGTACAAAAATTTTAAAAATTAAAATTTTTGTACTGAAAAACTGCTTTAAGAGGCAGTAGCCGTCCCAAACGAAGCCTTAGTTTAAGGATATGCAGTGAATTTGAATTGTATCAGAGCGCACAGTGAGACTTATTAAATGGCAAACGTCCTCTTTTACAAGATATCTGTCGTAGAAATGCATTTGCATTTTATATGCTATATAGGATGGGTATTGCATTTATAAGCTTTTAATGCTGAAGAATCAACATTGTGCTAACATGAATTTGATAAAATGGACTTTAAGTATGCTATGATAAAACAAAGAGTGTGAGTGTTTTGTGCTCAAATCTAAATACTAAGGTTTCGTTTGGTACGGCTTTCTTACTGTTTCTTAAAGCAGTTTTTTAGTACAAAAATCTCACATTATGATTTTGTTTGTAGCCGGAGCATAAAGATATCCCTTCTCATCCTACTCCTTGGTGTTGGTATTGCATCCATCACTGATCTTAAGCTGAATCTCCTGGGATCCATTCTGTCTCTCCTTGCAATAGCAACAACATGCGTTGGGCAAATTGTATCCTTTGTTGTCCTTATTTCATTTTTTACAATATGAAGGCTATAATGATTATTTTGTTTAAAGGGTACTGTAGCTTGCTTTTATCTTTAACTTTATACAAAGATGACAAACACAATACAAAAGAAACTGAAGGTCTCATCCACCCAGCTGCTGTACCAGTCCTCACCTTACCAAGCAGCTATCCTATTTGCTACCGGCCCTTTTGTAGACAAGTGCCTCACCAACAAGAATGTTTTTTCCCACAGTTACTCTTCAGTAGTCGTGGTACAAGTTTTGCTAACCTCAGCCTTTCAATTTTCATATCCTACTGCACATACTTACATATGACTTTGTAGCATTTGAAAAAAAATAATTTAGGAGTTGTTTGGGATAACTGTTTATTTTTGTTTTCTTTTGGAAATAATAAAAAAGGCCTAAAAATTATTTTAAGTTTTTAAAAAAGTAATTTGATTTATTTTTTTTAAAAAATAATTTGATTTATTTTTAAAAAAAATAATTTAAAAACACAAATCTAACTATAGGAAACAACCCAAAATAATGGAAAACAGAGCAAAAATCTGCCGTGAACAGCAGTTTTTCCCACAGAACTGTAGGAAATCTGAGAGAAAACACTTGAAATTTACTAATAGAAGAAGAAAAACAAACAAGATACAAGTGATCCTCAATTCGAGAGGAGGATCGATCTCTCCCGATTCTCTAGATGTCGCTAGAGCCCAAAGGAAACCTAAACCTAAGAATTCTCAAATTTCAACCAAATTCAAGATGCCTTAATCCTAGGAAAACAAATTATTGCATGCATACAATCAAAAAGGAAATCTCTAAACAGTCCCTACATTCTAATTTTCTTCCAACTCCCTTCAAAATCCTTCCTAAACAGTTCTGTTAAGACCGGGCAGTCAGATCCTGTGTACAGGAGGCAGAGACTTCAAAATCATAAGTTGGACTGGTCCAATGGACCGGTCTAACACTAGCATATTTAAAATAGTAATAATAATAAAACTTAGTTGTGCTATTCCACGACTACTAAGTATAATGTGTTTGATGTGCAGGGATTCATCATAATGTCTTGTTTGATTGCTGTGTCAGTGAACTTCAGCACATTCCTTGTTATTGGGACTACTTCTCCTGTAACTTATCAGGTGCTTGGCCATCTGAAAACATGCCTTGTTCTCTCCTTTGGCTACACCCTCCTCCATGATCCTTTCACGACAAGGAACATCATTGGAATTCTTGTAGCCATCTTTGGCATGGCTCTCTACTCTTACTTTTGTGTCCACGAGAGCAAGAAGAAGCTGCTAGCCAACGCACTGCCTGTGTCACAGGTAGACATATTCAATATACTTTTTGCTTCCATCTAAATACAACATCCTTACTTTGAATCAGTAATGGATTCACCAATTCCGTCTAGCTCAATGTTGATTATTTAGCATTACTTGTAAAGGCAATGCTAAAGCTTCATTTGGGACTGCTTTTTTATTAATTTTTAAAGTAGTTTTTTAGTACAAAAAATTTAATTTTCATACTAAAAAGTTGCTTCAAGAAGCAATAAGAAAGTTGTCCCAAATGAATCCTAAGTTGCGCTTAATTATTATGTGTGGATGCCGAACGTTGTTCGGAGACTAACCAGAATGTGCCACATCACCCATGTGCTCGGTATCGCTGATGAAGCGCATTCTGGTTGGTATCCGGATGGTGTTCTGCGTTCGGTCTCTGCACAGAATAATTTCTCCTAAGTTGCAAGCTAGAATACGTTAATTTAGAGAATTAAGTGAGATTTAATTCAAATCATTGGGAGCAAATAAAGCAAAAAAAAAAAAGATAAACACACAAAGCACATAAAAAATTTTTTGAGTTGGCCCAATTGATGGCTACATCTTATTGCTACCACTGCATGTTTTACTATAATGGTAGAGTTTCTTATAATTTACAATCATAATTTCTCAAATGTATCACATAATGACAATAGCTTCCTTTTATAGTCACAGATGAAGGATGAAGAGTTTCCACTTTTGGGATCTAATGACAAAGAGAACAATGAGGCCAAGAAAGCTAATGGGGTTCTCTCAGCCAACAAGAACTCTCTTGCCTGAACTTGTCTAATTAGTTGAGCCTGGAAGCTTTGAAGCTTCAATTTTACATAAATTCATGTTATTTTTTATTGTTTGATCCAATGTATATGGTTTTGATTCTTTGAATAATTAGCTACTGAAATGTTACTTTGAAAAAAAAAATATATTAATTTTAGCTGCTTCAATGCAGCCATTTCTGCTTGGATTATGTGCTAGCATTGATGTCCTATTCGATTTTTTTATTTTTTTTTAATAATCGAACTGTTTTATTTAAATTAGCCATGACATTCTTCAATTTACTGCCCTCCAATAAAATTAGGATGTCAAAATGAGCTTCTAGGTCATATTTTGTGATCGAAAATGAGAAGATCATGCTAATAAGTAATTTAAGTAAATAAATATTAATTAAATGGGTCCCTTTCAGGTTAATCGTGTTTGTGAGTGAACCTAAAATTGGACGCATTTAATAAGTGGGTTGGAATTTCGAACCCAAATTTGACCCAGTTATTGAAGGGTTAACCCAAATCTGAATTTTTTTGGTCGAGTCCAGGTTAGATTAGAGGGTTGGGTCATTTATTGATACTTCAACCTAAAGTTTTAGAAATTCATGATAAAAAATTATATACAAAAATTATGGATTTGATTTAACTCTTTTTTTAATTTTTTTTACCTTTATAAATTTTGTTAATTAAATCTTGAGTTATAGTCAGCCTACTTACATTTAGCTTCTTAAGCAACTAATGACTATAAATATGTCTTTGAGCATCTTTTAAGGTTTTGTTTGAGACAGCTTTCATACTACTTTTTAAAATAATTTTTTAGCACAAATTTCAAATTCAAAAAATTATTATGCTAGACAGGTGTTTTAGAAAGCATGAAAAAAATCGCCCCAAACGAAGCCACCAAACGGCTTTTTTATTGCTTTCTAAAATGAAGTTTTAGTACAAAAATAAAAAATTTTGTACTAAAACTTCGTTTTAGAAAGCAGTAAAAAAGTCGTCCCAAACGAAGCCTAAGTCTCATGATATAACTTTCTTGATCATTAGTTTTTTTGTGTTAATGAGTTCGTTTGGGACAGCTTTTTAACCGCTTCTTAAAGCAGCTTTCTAGTACAAAAGTTAATTTTTTTTAACTAGAAAGCAGCTTTAAGAAGCAAAAAAGAAAGTCGTCCCAAACGAAGCCTATATTACTTTGAAGTTCAAAATTTGTGCAATTATCTAATCCATAAATCAATAAGAAGAATTATTAAAATCTCCAAACATAAGTTTGATTTTATCTAAGAACATAAAATACAAGAATTAAATCTTCAATCTTAAAAATTTTAGGTCCAATCATTTGTACACGACAAAACTTGGCTCCAATTGGGATGGTAGAAGACGATTTTATCTAAGAACATAAAAATAAATGCGGTGAACATATTTGAAATAGAAAAAAAAAATACAATATAAGATGTTTTGATGTTTTTTTATTATTATAAGTACTTTTTGTAAAGAATTTGTATTTAATATTAGTTTTTATGAATAATTATGCCTTATTTTCTATAATATTTTTCCTCCTAACTTTTAGGTGCTTTTAGGATTTTTTATAAAGGTTTTTATTTTGATTTGTGTTATATTCTCTATTCCTTTTTTATTTAATTTATTGTCTAATGATTTAGTTATATTTATTTTCAATCTGATAGAGATTATGGAAATATTTTCCCCAAATCTCATACAATCCTATAAATTAACTAAGTTTTTAGAAATTTTATATAATCTTTCATTAATTTTATCTCATACTTTTGTACATCAAAATTATATTTGATATAATATATATTTTATAAGGACTTTAAGATTTATTTGATAAAAAATGTAGTACTTTTAATCTTTTATCCTTTTTTTTCATAAAAATATTTGCTTAAAAAATATTTATTTACTGTTAGAGCTATCAACAACCTCTTCTCCGAGCTCTGCTCTCGCTGGCTCTCTCAAAACCCTCCTTCGATCGAACAGCTAAGAGAGAGAGAGAGAGAGAGAGAGAGAACGAAACGAATTCGATGGAGAGGAAAGATCGGGGAGAGAGATTTTGGGGTTCTATTTTTTTCTTATTTTCCTTTTTCATCAGGGCGACCTGCAAGGACAAGGGAGAAGGGGGATAGCTCGGATACCTCTGATTCCAACCATTGGGATCAGGTGGTCGCCCGTTCCCTTTCTTTCCGAGAATCCGTGTTGAATCCTTTTCAAATATTGCATTTTTTAGGTCGACATTGTTTCGATTCCGATCAATTCATTGTCGCTGTCTTCTTCTTCTTCTTCTGCTGAGAGAGATTCTCAACAGAAGAAGAACCCAGGAAATCAGAAAGCTTGGTTAATGGATTCGGAGCTGCGGTGAGAGGAAGGAAAGGCTTTATCTGAGCGGCTTGCAGGAAGATCGAGAATGGAGGGCTGGTTGTATCTAATCAGGTCCAATCGATTCGGTCTGCAGTCTTCCAGGAAAAGATACTTTGCTCTGAAGGAGAACCTTCTCAATTGCTATAAGAACATACCCAAATCAAATAGGGAGGTAGATTTTTCTATCTGCTCGTTTTACTTGGTCGGTTGGTTTTGCTTTGATTACGAGAGCTCGGTTTTCTTTTTTGGAGTATTTGATGGAGAATACAAATGGACATAATCTGTGAAAGCGCAAGAAATGGAGTTTCCTTAACTTTTTTTTTCTTTTGGTCTGCCTGTCTTGTAATTATTATTTACCTTATATAAAATCATTATTTCTATTATCCTCTTTGCTTCGACTCTCAGTTCATTTTGTGCTTCATTTGCAATTTTTCTCTTTCTCAGGAACCTCTAAAAACCGCATTGATTGATTCCTATATACGGGTCGCTGATAATGGAAGAGAGAGCTTCCATAGAAATGTAAGAGTACACCCTATTGTAATTTCCTCATCCAGATATTTGTCGTCTTATGTTTTGTCTGTTTTTAGGGGAAAATTATTAGAGGCCGAGACCGGATGTAGAGGTACGCCCGGACTCCAATAAAATGTTGACACGTGGAGTGAACACGTTGGATTTATTTTTTACTTTATATATTTAATGTGTCCGCGGAACTTTAAGCCAAACGCATCAAAAGCACAGCTAAAGCGCAGTGAAACACAATAAAAAAGCGCAACAAAAGAGCAGTTAAAGCACAACTAAAGTGCAACTAAAGCACATATAAAGCACAATAAAAAAGCGCAACAAAGCAGTCAAAGCGCAACCAAAGTGCAGGTAAAGCGCATAAAAAAGTGCAACCAAAGTGCACTCCACGTGTCAAATTTTAAGTGGATGTTCGGACGTAGAGATATGTGCGGCCTCCGCACCTAATAATTTTCCGTTTTTAGGAGCTTCATATTAATTTATTTAATGATCTTATGCTATTCAACTTACATTTGGCTCGCAATTTCAGGTTTTCTACATTTTTACAGTTTACAATTCTTCTAATCACAATGATCAACTTAAGGTGATTTTCTATGTGATAATAATTCCTTACTGTTACTAACCTGATATCTCCACAAATGAGGGCGTAAAAAAAAAATCTAATCCTCAACTTATTGCTTGAGATTTGCTTCAAACTCTGCAGCTGGGTGCTCGAAGCTCAGAAGAAGCAGCTAAGTGGATTCAATCGTTAAAAGAAGCAGCAATGAAGGTTTTGTCTCCCATGCTTTGCTAAATTTGTTCCAAATCATCGTATCTGGTCTCTAGTGCTAAACATTTATTTTTTCTAGCTGCAGGAAAGCCCAAGCAATGGAACCAAACATGTTCATTGCTCGAAGAGTAGACGCCAATCATTCAGGTTGTGTATTGCCATTTTTTAAATGATTTAAAACCTTATTTTCAATTTAGGTTGCTGAGAACAATAGTTCCACTTGATATTATGATAAGAAATACTTTAGTTCACAAGTAACCCTAAAGGGAAGTACTTGAGTTCGCAAGCAATCCTAACAATAATCAGTAAAACAAGGAGAAATATTCAAGAGCTTTGATGAAAGTAATCCCAAAAATAGTAGATATTTTTATAGAAATCAAATCAAAACAAGCACAAGAAAAGATATAAGTGATCATCAATTCGAGAGGAGGATTGTTCTCTCCCAATCTCTAGATGAATCTAGAGCCCAAGATCCCAAGGAAAACTTCAAGAGAACAATAATCAATCATACCCTAACCCTCACCTCTCCAGGAAGGGCTGTGGGCCCCAATGCTTTAGGCGGCTAAGTGGGAGGCGACATGAATCCGCCTCCTGTAGACTTGGACCGGTCCTTGCTGGGCCGGTTGAGCCGGTTCCACTTGAACCAACTTAACATATTACTTTTCTATTCACTGAAGCAAATCTTTATCTAATTACCCTTTACTAATGATACTAATTCTTTTTTTTTTTTTTCTGGGCATTAACGAGAAGTCTGCTATTCAATGTTCTTACTGTTTTCTGGCTTGTGATTAATGCAGGTTAGTCCAAGCTAGAGGTAGAACTCGTCTGCATTCCATAGGTACACTACTCTTACATCTACACAACTCTTTGTTCTGTGAGCTATCTCCCTCTCTTAGCTCATTAAGTGGGGAGAATTCAGAGGTTCAATTATGTTTTGAGTGAAGTCCAAGCTATCATTCAAAGTTTAAGGTGCCTATTTTGGTTCTAAAATTGAATTCATTATCATCATAGATTGGACAGTTTTCTCAACTGGGCACACTAAGAGGATGGCCTCTGATGTTATTGCACCATCACCATGGAAAATTTTTGACTGTAAAAATGGTAAGAGTGATAACCTTGGTCCTTATTTTCTATCTAGACATGACCCAAGTAGGATTCAAAATTATTGCTTCCTTTGCAGGCTTGAGGCTCTTTAAAGAGGCAAAAAATGCACAGTTTCTTAGGATGGTAACTATTGGACTCAAGTAACAGGGCCACTATTTTTTCATATTTCTGTAGCACTAATGAATTCTCATTCCTCAGCATTGGGATGATCATCCAGCTATAATGGCTGTAGGTGTGGTCGATGGACCGTCAGAAGCCATTTTTCAGACATTGATGTCTTTTGGTCCGTCAAGATCTGAGTAAGACAAACGTTTGAAAATATCAGTTTACTAAACTTTCCTTGATTTTTTTTGTATAGAAATAATAAGAAATGATATTTGAAAATTATGCTAGCATTTTGATACAACAACAACATCAAGCCTTTGTCGCATTACGTGGTGTCGGCTACATGAATATTTTTTCAAATTCTTGTTTAAATCTAATAAAAAAAGATCATTTCTAATATTTTCTAAACAAGTCTTTTTAGGTCTACCTCTAGCTTTATTAATATAAATCAAATATAATACCTCTACTTTCCTAACCGAGTCATCAGAAGGCCGTCGTTTTATGTGACCAAACTATCTAAGGCAACTCTCTCTAATCTTATCCTCCACTAGAGCTACTCCAACCTTTTCGCGTATATGCTCATTTCGTATCTTATCTCTAAGGGTAAAGCCACTCATCCACCTGAGCATCCTCATCTCTGCAACACTTAAATTAGCATTATGTTTCTCTTTTAATGGCCATCATTCGGCACCATAAAGCATTGTATATACATTCGGCACCATAAAGCATTGTATATACATTCGGCACCATAAACCATTCGTTAATTGTGAATTGGCCTTCTTTCTAAAGCGAGGGATGCTATCTTTGTATCCTGTCAAAAAATTAGGATTGTAATTCTCTACATTCAAATCATAGTGAAATCTACAATGATTACAACATAACATAGCATCAATTGAATAAACATGTATAAATCTTTTGTATGTTTTTATGCGTCTATCTTCTTTTTCTATTTCGCTCTATTTGAATTAAGTTTTTCCTGTTTCCCACACAAGTCTAAGGAAGTATTTGCAGATGGGATTTCTGTCTAGCCTATGGCAGCGTGGTTGAACATCTTGATGGTCACACTGATATTATCCACAAGAAATTAAGTGGAGATTGGTTGCCCTGGTTAGATTGTAAACTTTTCCCCAATTTATTTTCTCTCACATTGTGGACCTTCACCATAAACACCAAGAGGTTTTCAGGGGAATGAAAAGAAGGGATCTACTGCTAAGACGTTACTGGAGGAGAGAAGATGATGGAACATATGGTACTGCCTCTAGAAAAAATGATGGATTTTTTAAATATTCAAGCTTTCTTGCGCATTAAAAAATTTTGGATGTTGTTGCAGTTATAGTATACCACTCTGTTTACCATCCAGACTGTCAACCGAAGAGAGGCTATATTCGTGTCTCCCTTAAAAGTAATTTGTGCTTAAATTTAGCAATTAAAACTTTTTATTGAAACTGACTGTAGAGTTATCCAAAACCTGCAAAGTTCTTCATAATTAATAAGTTTCTGTATTTTTACATAGGTGGAGGATATGTAATATCTCCATCAAATCCAGGAAAACAAGCTGTTGTCAAGCACATTCTTGCTATTGATTGGAGAATCTGGAAGCCTTACTCATTGACCTCTTCATCAAAATATATAACAATCAAGATGCTTGCAAGAGTTGCAGGTGCAGATAGGATATTATCTAATTATATTTGTATCACAACCTTTATCTTGAAATTGCAACTGTGAATTCAATACATAATTTATTTATTTTTTGGGCAGCTTTGAGAGAATTTTTCCAAGCAAAACATGGAAATTACTTGTTCTCCAATTTCTCATCAAGAGAAAGAACAAGAGAGAAACGTTTATCTGCTCAAGAAAAGGAATACATCAAGGAGGAAGTCAAGATGGGTGCTGATAGTATTAAGGGTGATGATTCTGAGGACGATTTGGAAGTCCTTGCTCCCAAACATGCCAACATGGGTGGATCAATTGTTCAACTTAATGATGCTGCTGATGAATTTTTTGACTTACCTGATGAATCTGATTGTGATGAATCAGAGATTGTGTGGCCTCCCAAAGAGGATGCCGAATCCCAGGTATTTACTTGAATAAATTTCATGGCTTATTCTGATTTCAAATGGACATATATAATGGTGAAGGCGGAAGATTTTAAGTCATAAAGAAAGGGTCAATAGGTTTTGAATGCTTTTCAATGACTTAACTTTTTGTTCATACTTTTTTAACTGTCATTGAGCTTTATTATACTTCATATCTGAAAGAAAATAACTATAACCAATAAGAAGGAGATCAGCGTGATCCAAGTAAGCCTCCTACGGATTCCCATCCTAGCCATGGAATTAAAATGCCAAGGCATGGCTAGAATTTAATACGTGAGCCTCCCATGGATTCCCATCCTAGCCGTGCGATCAAAATGCTAGGGGACGGGTAGGATTTAATAGGTGAGCCTCCCACAGATTCCTATCCTAGTCATGAGATCAAAATGCCAAGGGATGCTAGGATTTAATAGTATTGTTGACATATAATTAATAAAGTGGCCAACCAACCTTAGCAATAAGAGAGAATAACTCGGGCAATGTTAATCTCAGCAATTCATGCTCGAAAATCAATCTCGTATATTTGAGTAAATCCTTTTACAACCAATTTTGAACGCTCCCTTGTAAGTAAGCGGACAAAGTTGCTAAAGTTCAAAATAAAATCATTCAACTACACCAATGATAGCCGCATTGGCAAAAAATATTATCCTAGGGGTATTACGCCTTTCAAAATGCTCCTAAATGTTAATAGATATCATTTTAGGGCCACATTCATACAAAAATATAAAAATCTCAAAAAAGATTACAAAATGTTGAAATCCATAAATAAAATTTATTTCTTTAAAATTTAAAGCAAAAATGCATTCTTCCTCTGCAAGTGTTTGTCAATGGTGACAAATTTGACAACAACCTTAGCCAACAAAGAACAACTATATTGATATGTTCACTCTCAAATATCTCAAGCCACTAAAGATATGACACATGTTCTCTAATCGATTGTTTTGTCATTAAATGACACCATAGATAAAGGGTTATAGCCAAACCCCTATGACTGGGTGATTTTGCTGTAAAATGACACTATTAAATTATGGTCAAGGCTAGATTTCTCCGATGAATAAAAACCCCTTGAGTAATAAATTATATTGTTCACTTAATAAAGCATAAAGTTAGTTGTTAGCTAAGGTCAATATAAATATATGCCCTTAGATAAACAACCACACCAGGTTTATAAGATTCCTTTGGATAAAGTGACTCATGGTTGCTGATAATGATTATTTGGCGATGTTGGGTCAACTAATTTTTTTGACTAAGTAGATTGTGGTCCATAAAAACCTGGGATGTTGAAACAATGAGATTTTGATTGAGTTCACCTTCATTGCCCCACCATCTGGTTTAGGTTTATGGTGGAAAAATTTTTCAATCTAAAACCAAATTCACTACTACTATATGCTAAGCTTTTAGCTTCTAACAACTAATATTAACGAAAATTCACTCTCATAATCGGTAAAGGTAATTAACCATAGTGGGTTGCGCCTATAAAAAATTTAAAACTAGATCATAAAGTCCTCAAATAATGAGGGCAAATCTTTAAATAGCGTCTTATTTACAATTCAATATGACTTCTTAAAATTTGACTCGAAACACCAAAATTTTCTCAAAAGAGTCTGAGTACAAAATTCCAGAGCTCACATTGGTAATGTCTTTTCATACCTTCATTGGCATTCATTCATAATTATAGTTATCACTTTGTGATGATTCTTGTTAACCATATCTTTTGGACCTTAATAAGGCAAGCTAGAAATTATTAGAACGTAAATAAACAACCATATTAGATGAGTATTATATATATATATATATATATATATATATAATTAGCCTAAAGTTGACATTTGAATCACTCGAATAGTATTTCTTAAGAAAGCAAGAAAAATTTCTTGCTCATAAGATTTTTTCAGTTATTCATAATCTTTCATATTTCATTAGTTGTCATTGATTCTAGTCTCTCAAGTTCCCTAGGAACACATTAGACAACCTGTTAACTTGTGCTTTGATTGTGATATCTTTCTTACTGCTTTCTAGAGTAGTTTTTTAGTTCAAAAAAATTTTTAACTATAAATTTCTTTACTAAAAAACTATTTTAAAAATCAATAAGAAAATTATCTCAAACGAAATCTTAGTCAGTTACATCTACATATTTCATTTATGAACAACAAAATAAAGCATTGACATGTTTCTTTAACATGTCAATTGACAAAGGACCAACGCCATACCATGTTATCAACAGCAGCAGTTCTAGTGAAAAAGTTACAAGATCTTTCAGGTCTGTCTTTACCTATCATAAATTTCACAAACATGATGTGCTTTACCTTTCTCATTTGTAAATATAAGCCAAATTCATCTATTGCTTTGTAGGTCAAAGGAAGGGTTATTTTGATCTGAAAGAAGCTTCGATTAATGGTACAGAACTTTATAGCTATGGGACTACTCTTCCAAGCGACTCAACCTGTACCACTAATTGTAGTTGGACCACTGCAGATCCTTCAACATTTCTAGTTCGTAGTGAATCCTACTTGAAAGATCATAAGAAGGTACCATTTTCTGACCCATGTCTGACTATATTTTAAACTTTAACAAGATTTGTTAAGTACTTTTACTATTTGTATGTTCCTTTTAGAGGCTTATGATAGAAAATACTTGAGTTCGCAAGTAACCCTAATGGAAAATACTTGAGTTTGCAAGCAACCCTAACAATAATTCGTGAAAACAGTAAGAAAACTTCAAGATCGAAAACAATAAAAAACAGTAGATTGTATTATAGGAATAAAACCAAAGGCAAAAACAAGCAAAGATAAAATTGATCCTCAATTTGAGAGGAGGATCGTTTTCTCTCAATCTCTAGATGATGAATCTAGAGCCCAAAGCCTCTAAGAGAACTCCAAGAGAAACAATAATCAAAACATAAACTCTAACCCTACCTTCTCATGCTTTTAAATACCCCACCTAATAAAAGATTCCTAATATAAAATAAATTCAAAATAGCCTCCTCATGCAAACCGCCCTCTCTCTCTACTTGCTGCCCGAGGTCCCTCGCCCCCGGGGGGGGGGGGGGGGGGGCACTTTGCTTAGGCGGTGGCCCCTAAAGAAGGAAGCTTAACCTGCCTCCTATATGTCTGAACCGGCCCCTCCTGAGCCGGTTCGGGCTGTCCCGTAAAAGCTTATATATGTAAGATGTTAAGAGAGTCATGGCAAGTCACTATTCGAACTGATCAATCTTATATGACGTGTGGCTCAACAAGCAAAACAGAAATAGATGGTGGATAAGAATTACGCAGTTTTATATGCCTATTGAACTAATATGAAAAACATATTTTTTGTTTACAAACTGATATTTTTTTAATAGATTAAAGGAAGCACTACTTTGATGAAAATGGTGGCTGCTGATTGGCTGAAATCTGATAAGCGTGAGGATGATCTAGCTAGTCGAGCTGGGGGCATAGTTCAGGTGCTGTTATCTTTTATCTGTATCCACAAAATGGACATGAAAGCTCATATTTTGAATATCTTTTCTGATGGAACAAAATTTTGTTCTAGCAGAGATACGCAGATCAAGGAAGCAGTAATTTTTTCTTTATCATAAACATACAGGTGAGCCAATATTTTAATGCAAACATGCAGTAAAAGTAGCAAATATTTCCTACAACACAAACCATCGAGATCGAGAGATCTAATATTGCTTCTCAAATCAGGTTCCAGGTTTGACTGCTTATAGTCTTGCTCTCTATTACATGCTGGATACACCATTGGAGAATGTTCCTATACTAGCAAACTATGTCAAGGGCGATGATGCATACAAGAATTCAAGGTTTAAGCTCATACCATATATATCTAAAGTAAGAGTGCTTGCTACAATGTTCTGTTTCTCAAATGTTTTTCTGTAGCGAGGTGAATGATTTTTATGCTGGATGTCTTTTGTTTGCCATCTAGGGATCCTGGATAGTGAAGCAAAGTGTGGGAAAGAAAGCATGTTTGTTGGGTCAAGCTCTGGAAATCAATTATTTTAGTGGGCGAAACTACCTTGAGGTATAGTAGATGCATATTCTATTTAAAATTCAACCATTGAATATCAAATTGTTATCCATGCATAAATTGTCGATGGTTTGTGGTGCATGATCTCTACTAAGAGTGTTGCCTTATTTTTGTAGATTTTCTGTTTGTTGCCCTACCCTTTTTGTATTTAAAATTCATTGAATCATGTAAAATCCATATGCTTTTCTCTGCTTTTCTGTGCATCTTTCTTTCATATTTCATATCCTAACAACTATGGCACGCATGCATTTCCTCAGTAGAATTCAAGTTGGATGGTTGAAGTGGAGGAATGCATCGGGCTAGTTGTGTGATAGAAAAGTCCCTCTCAAACTTGAGGGAAAATTCTATAAGATGGCGGTGAGACCTGCAATGTTATATGGTGCAGATTGTTGGCCATTAAAAGAGAAGCATAATACTAAGTTAAGTGTTGCAGAGATGAGGATGCTCAGATGGATGAGTGGCTTTACCCTTAAAGACAGAATAAGAAATGAGCATATACGTGAAAAGGTTGGAGTAGCTCCAATGGAAGATAAGATTAGAGAGAGTTGTCGTAGATGGTTTGGTCACATAAAACGACAGCCTTTCGATGACCCGGTTAGGAAAGTAGAGGTATTAGATTTGACTTTTATTAAGAAAGGTAGAGGTAGATCTAAAAAGACATGGTTAGAAAATATTTGAAATGATCTTTCTTTATTAGATTTAAACGAGAATTTGACTTTTAACATGACACAATAGAGAAAAACGGATTCATGTAGCCGACCCCACGTAGTGGGACAAAGGCTTGATGATGATGATGATGTTGTTGTTGTTGGAGGTGACGTGCATGATTACAAATGTTGTTAAAATTCTATTTCTTGATATCAGGTGATGTGAAATCAGGAATTGTTTTCTTAGAGATTAATAAAGTTTGTTGGAGCAATGATAAAAATAATTTTAAAGCTTCTCAAAATTGAAAACTCAAGAGAGATCTTAGAAGTCAACAATGCTTAGGCAATCCGTTACAACTAAATTTGTAAGTTCTTTAAAATAACAATTTAAACAAAAGTAATGAAATGATTAGTCAACTAGAATCCGGCGGTTAACAAAGCGATCGTCTCAACTTGAGGCTCAAAGTCACTCTTCTACGTCTAGGGTTGTTGGAGGAAGAAAAACCATACAAGAAACGAAATCACTCCAAGGTAGACGTCGCAGACGATCCATAGTGATGGCGAGGGAAGCGGCGGCGGTGAAGGTGGGGAAGCGGGTGGATGTCCGTTGATGATCCAATCGTAGTCTTGGAATTGATCGTCTATGACGTCCACGAGAGTGGGAAGGATGCAATTCAAATAATCTTCAACAGTGTCGTCGGAGCCAAATCCGACGTCAAAGAACGGTGAACGGGTGATGTGAATGTCTCCGTAGATGTCGAAAACCAATCTGCTATCAATCTCGGGATCCTCCATGCATCCTTGCCGGAAAACAATGAGCACTACGAGGGAAAAGAAGATAGGCGGTGGTGGCAAGAGAGGAGAAGGGGTTGGGCCGGCGTGAGGGTTTGAAGGGGGCGGCTAGGTTGAGAAACCACAAGAAAATTTCAGGAACCCTGAAATTATTTCAGGTTTTGGGTGAGAGGGAAGGGATTAATTGAGAGTTTTCAAATTAATCCCATAAGAAGAGGGCGGCAATGGAGTGGATGGTGGCGGATTTAGTGGGATTAGGGAGTTAATTTAGGAGAGAGAGAATCCCCAAGAGAGGGGGACCGGCCACCATAGAGGGGAGAGAGAGTAATTGTAATTAGTGAGTGGGGTCCACATCACTAATCATGGTTTTAATAAAATCTGATTTTAAATTTCAGATTTTATGAGGAAGGGAAGTTTCCAAATAAAAGGCTATTAACTAGGATTAATTTGAATTTCAAATTCAAATTGAAATCCAATTAATTTGATAGGCCTTAAATCATAGAGATATTTTAGGAAGGTCTTTAATGGCTCTCAGAACAAATTTGAATTTCAAATTTGAAATTCACCAAGGGGAGGCCGGCAGCTAAAAGGGGAAGAGGGGGGCTGAGGGGTGGTGGGGAGGCCGGCGGGTGGTGGCTGCTAGGGAGTGAGCCGGCGGCCTGGACGGTCCAAGGATGGGCGGCGGCAAGGAGCAAGGGGAAGGAAGAAAGGGAAATTTTTAGGGATTCGATTGGCCACGGATTCACTCACCTCAATTATCTTCAATCCGAATTTCCACAAAGATAGTTTGGACGAATATCTAGAACTCACAAGTCACAAAGAGATCTATTTTCTCCGACGAACTCACTAAGAGATCTAGGAGGAATGAACTCACAAAGAGAACAAATAAGCAAATTTTTCATTCATCAAAAACTACCTCAAATACAATGACTAAGCCTATATATAGGCCATCCGGAAATTAAAAAAAAAAAACATAAAGACGACATTGCCCTTAAGCTACAAAAAGCACTAACTCCCTCATAGGGGTACAAATGGAAAACATAAAATATAAATGACATGAATAAAATAAAACATCAAAAATAAAGACTATGAATCATGGCCGTCGCTCAATGACCCCTCTAATGGTAGGTGTGTCAAAATCTCCTATGGATGTCCTCATCATCAGGTATGCGTGGCTACTAGTTCTTGCAGTTTATTTACTCGGCCTTACACCTTGCATTTCAAACCAATGGAGGAAACTTAATCATTGCTTCAGGCTCACGCTCTAACTTGAACTCATTATATTTATCAACTCAATATAGGTGTTGAAAATGTTATATTTTTTTCCTTCAAGAGAACCAGGCAAGACTCATATTAATAAGATACATGCAGATAGGCCTCGAATTGAAAAAAACTATGTATCCTTAGGATCTTTCTGATTTGAGTTTTTGGGCTAAGAGATTTAATGTTATAATTTTGTGATTAATAAAGTATGTAAAGGCCTTTTACAGTATACAATCACATGTTTATTGGTACTGACGAAGCCAGGAAAAGTAACTTTGTTTTATTGTACAAGCATAGTTTTTGGCAAAATTATTTGCACTTAGTAAGCTGCTAGTTTTTTTTTTTTTGGATGGATAGTGGTAAGCATGCCAGTTTGTTCTAGTACATGGAAATCTTGATCTTTGCACAAGCAAAACACTTCAAGCCAAAATAACTAGCAATCCAACAAGAATACCAGGCTTAATGATAATGTTATCATTGTTGCCTTTCCAATCCCATGACAAGCATATTCACATTTCCAATAGTAAACCAAGACCACAAGGCCTAATTGTTGAGTTAATTTTATCATTGCTATCTTTCCACTGTTTGGTAAAGGGATTTACTTGAAGCTTCGATCCTGAGCTATCCCTTTGTCAAAGATGATTTGTACTTTGTTAGCATATTAAGAAAGTAATATTGGGAATTATCATATTTGAAGAATATCTTATTATGGTAATATTTTTATATCCTCATAAATATAAATATTCTCCTAATTAATTATTTATCATTGCATTCATTTTGTTTGCCTATTTATAAAGCACCTATATCTAGTCAATAGAATATACTTAAAATCTTCATCTCAACATGTATCATACTATTATAGTTAAGCCTAATCCATTCTTTGCCTCCTCCCTCCTGGCCCTCTCTCTCTCTCTTCCATTATGTTCTCTCTTCATGGTGTCATGATGCTCTCTTGCTATGATCCCATAGCCACATGCAACCATTAGCTATCTTAATCACTTGTTCTACTTCTACACAATCCTACATGTAGCTCGCACGCCCGTCCTTCATGGTTACATATTGTCCCACTCATCAAATGTATGTGTGCTTTTTTTTCTGCCTCATATCCTAGCTGTTGCCTATTCCCAATCACATACATTGTACTTCATACACGAGTTATTAAGGCCGGAACTTTCAATTTTCATGATTGCAATTTCTCTTCGCTTTTCTGTCTCTCCTCACGATGTCATGGCTTATTTCTCTCCTCTTACTAAGATGAAATCCTCCTCAATCATCATTTTCACTATTAAATTTAATAGTGCCTAGTATCTTATGTGTTCAAGATCCCTTTTCTTCCTTGTCTGTACTCATTGACAAACTCACCATCTTGATGCAACTTCTCTAGACAACAACAACAACCTTTAAGATGGCACAAATGAGATGCTTTGCACGTCTAGTGCCATGGTATGCATCATAATGAAATGGGACGCCCCATTTTGAAGTTATGTGCCACAACATGGTTATAGTAAAAGGAGTGCACCTCAGTACATCATGTGCCATAGCATGCATCATTTTGCTTCATTAATAACTATGATGAAAAGCATATGATTACACCATCCATATTTGATTACTCAACATTCTTGAAACCATTTATTATCTTTAGTCATGTTTGAAGTTATGCTAATAAGACAATGTGAGACTTTCTTCATTCCACCTTTAGGAGAATAATATTTCTCATGCTTAGTCTTTGCTATGAGATCTTTCCCCAACAAGATTGCATGCAGATCCAGAAATAATATAACAGTACATGAAAAATGGAAAGAGTTAATCCAATTCTAGTCCTTCATGACTGACACGGCTGCTTGGTAGAAACAAAACAAATAATTTCTGGATGCCAAATTTATTTTTGGTCAACACCCTTAATTGCATGGTGTACAGTCTTAGCTAATAAAGGGAACTCCATTATAGCTAATATTTTTATGGCTCTCTCCTGAGTTCTTTATGTCACTGAACTCTCCACCATTCAATGATAGACTCTATCAAACAATCAAATTAGGGGAAGTTGTTTTTGAGGTGGCACAACTAATGGTGGCCATAGTTGTAGGTGAAATACTTTTCCCTCTTGCCCACATTGCAAGAGCACCAATCATCTCATCAACATTGTTAAGAGGATTCTTGTTATCCCTCCCCTTCTTACATTCAATCCAGTACTATCTTCCAAATCAATTATTATTTGATAGGAAGTAGGAACATTATAACCTCAACAATCTTTTAGCATCTCTCTCTCTCTCTCTCTCTCTCTCTCTCTCTCTCTCTCTCTCTCTCTCTTCTTTTTTTCTTGATCTATTATAATTATTATTTATGTATGTCTTGGGTTTTAGATTCAGATACTTCTACTTATATACCAAGAAATCGCCAACTACTTTTATCTCTTCACGTCATTTCTACCACTTATCATTGTTGTTGATGGTCACCCCTCTATCATTTCTGGAAAGAGCATTATACATCTCTCTAAATACCCTTTTAAAGGTTATATCTATCCCCCACTTTTCTATCAATTCACTTTTTGTTCACTGCCTTATTAAAGCTCATAATTATTTAATAACCTTTTATTCTTCTCATTGAAGGTGTTGAAGCTGACGAGATATAGTACTTAACTATTAATGCTCCTTCCAATCTCTCATCCACTGCTACTCTATATCATTGGCGCTATCAGTTGGCTCCTCCTCCCTTAGACTCTAGAATTATGTTTCTTCTTTTCTCTACCAGTTCGAAAATCATGACAGTTAATTGGGTAAAGATCATTCTACGTCCTTCCTTTCTTTTTATGCGGGTCGTCGACATATCTTTTGGATCTTGTCCACTCAAACATTTGGGGTCCCAGTTTAGTTCTCACTCAATTAGAATTCTTGTATTTTGCCACTTTCATTAACAGGGTTTATTTGGTTCTATTAACTCATGTTAGTTAATAGTCCTACATGTATTTTAACCCTTATATGAACAAATAAAAGAAAGTTATTTGTATTGATCAAAACCTTAAGCATGGACAACACTCTAGAATTTATTCAGTCTCAATTTCAAATTATTCATTAAGTTCTTACTCATATACATCTCGACAAAATGATATGTTTGAATGCAAAAATTGTCAAATGCTTGATATTACTCACACTTTAATATTCATATGAATATTCCTTGTCAACCCCATGGTCAGCTATCTCTCCCTTCACCTTCATAGTGTGACTCGGAGTGAATCCCACTACCGATTGAAGAGAGACTTCTGCCACATTCCAGATGCATCTTTTCCTCCTCCATCTCTGAAATCGTTTCCCCCACATCGGAACACACAGCCCTTGCATTGTGCCTGGCATGTATCTTCTCATCAACATCGGAAACTACAGCCCTTTTTGTTCTTTTCTCTTGCATTTCTTTGTCAGTGAGCCTCTTAAATTGTCCCCCATTTCCTCCTCCTGTTGCTTTTTCTTTGAACTTCTTTCCATCCTCCTGTGGAAAGCTCCCTTGTGGATTAAGTGGGTAGTTTTGTCGCACCCTATAAGTGCCTCCTGAGCCTACTACTACTCTCGCTCCCCTTTCCAGGATTCTTTTGATTTTCAACCAACTGCTGCAAGCTTCATGGCCTCCCCTAGGTTCCCTGGGCATCAGGACCTTCACCAATGCTCGCACCTCGGCCTTTAACCTTTCATAAAATTCCCCTCGAAGGATTACCAGCACGCGTTTCGGACAAGCGTCCTCTGCTGGCCAGTGCTCCAACTCTTCCCAGATATTCTGCCACAACAACCGACCCTCCTGAACTAGGGCAAAGAAACTGCTGCGTAGAAGTTTCTCCCCGATCGGTTTGGAAACGCTGCTAAGAAACTGTCGCTTGAATTCTCCCCAGCATCCTGATAGGTCTCCTCTGAATTCTCTCCACTGGTACAAGAGAGTGGCCTTCTTCCGACACAAACCCGCTGCCGACAACTTCCTGCCTCCTGCTTCAATCGTTAACAGCAAAGTACCTCTCCACTTTGTGAATCACCCATAGGCATCCATCACTCACCTTCAAAAATCGGCAGTTTTCAATTTTCTCACCTTCCGATCCCCGCATTCCCCTTAATCTCCATAGTTTCCCCTCTCCATGTGCCTGACCCCTCGTATCCCGATCGCCGGTTCGCACAACCCACACACACACACACACAGCTCACAAAGAAAAATAGTTTCCCTTGCTCTCCTGTCCCCAATCCCTCTTCAAAAATCTTCCGATCTTCAAAATTGCTTCTAGAGACCTGAATACCCGAATGATCCGCCTCTGAGAGTATCCCTATAGTGATCTATATACATAATACATATACTCTCTCCTCATATATGGAGAGATACATAATAGAGGATATATACCCTACTCCATTCCCACGATCTTCCACTTCCTCTATCCTCCCGATGGATTTCAGAGTTGGCGTTCTTGATAGCGGCCCATTTGCATAGGCATAGCGATTGGAGATTATGAAACCTCCAACATCTTTTCATCAATAATAGATAGATAAGAGACCACTTGTCCTTCCATGGAGGACATTCTTTTTCTACGGTTTCCTTGATTTTGATTTATCCTCTCCTTCAATCCTCTCCTCCAACAGCAATCCACCTTCTTAGTTCGCCATCTCCTATGGCTTTGCAATTTAGGAGAAGATTCCAGAATTGCGAAAAATTTCAGCGATTTTCTCCTTTTCCGTAGCAATTTCAGCACGCTAAAATTTAATCAAAACAGCACCTCTACGACCAATTTGTCAACAAGACTTTGCTACATCATTACATTTGATTTAGGGAAAAATACTTGGCATTCCCTATTTTCCAACTCTATGCTTACAATATTCCAAGACTAGAAATACTGCTGCTCACAGTCATGAAATATACATGCGAAACACGAGAAATTCTGGTAGGAAAATAACTTGACCGAAGAATACTTGTTATTTTTACTAATAGATGCAAGGAAAAATATCGCAACAGACTATGCACAAGGATCCAACTAACTATATAACGAGAGGAGGATCGACACTGGGCTCCCAAAATCTTCTTACGATATACGCATCTAGAGCACAACAAATCACAGAAAGTATACAAGTAGTAAGACTTCAAACTAAATGCGACAAAACACTAAACTCCCATTTACTCCCTACTTAATGACATTACAATTCAAAGAATAGATACATATAAGGACCTACATTGCCCTCACTTCCTCAATTTTGGCTCCAAGAAGCAATTTGAAATTCACGTGGACCCCGCCTCTAGCCTCATGCGGCTTCCGCCTCATGTCCGCCCGCCCTTCTCCTTCGATAAAACTGAACCGGCCCATTGGATTGGGCCGGCTGGACCGGTCCAAGGAGGACCGGTCTAACAGCTTCTATTGACGTTACTTTCATGAAATAGCTCTTTATATTAGAGATAACCTAGTCATCTTTATATTTTTTCTCTTTTTGAATCATAATTTATTTTCAGCTTTGCGTGGATGTCGGCTCATCTACTGTTGCCAGGGGTGTTGCAAGCCTTGTGCTCAGCTACCTAAGCAAACTGGTGATAGAAATGGCTTTTTTAATACAGGTGAGACAGCGAATGATTTCCGCTGACTAAGATTTCGTTTGGGACAGCTTTCTTACTGCTTCTTAAAACAACTTTATGGTACAAAAGTTCTAATTTTGTATTTGAAAGCTGCTTTAAGAAGTAAGAAGAAAGCCGCCCCAAACGAAGCCTAAGATTTCATTAACTGAAGTGTTGAAAAGAATCAAATACCAGTAGAAATGCTTTTAGATACCAATCGAAAGCTTAACGAAACTGTTATCTTTACTATTTTGGGTTCAAGTATGTGTCAGTTCTTGCAAAATTGTAGGGAAATAGCCAAGAGGAACTTCCAGAATTCCTCCTGGGAACCTGTCGACTGAACTATCTTGATGCCACCAAAGCTATCCACGTACGCTTATGTTGACAGTAAGAAGTATCTTTCTATTGCTCCTTGTTCGTCTCTATATTTTAATTATGCAAGATTTTTTATAGAATATAAGCATAGCATTATTTACACTAAATTTATGCAACTTTTTCTTTACAGGTTTAATTATATCTGAATATGGAAAGTGAGAACCAAAGTTGTATAATTTTTTTCATAGGTTGCTACATTACATGCTGAATTTATATTATTTAATATTTGTCCAACAACTTCTTTCTCCATTTGTTTTCTCAAGCCATACTATTTCTGGCATGACCACATAATATTATAGTATGTGTATGCATGGACAAAATTTATTTATTGCAGCATTCTTTCTACCAAAAGATAAATCACATTATATAAAGTTTTTAGCATTCTGGAAGTAAATTTCTGTATGGTGCTGTAAGCTTAACTGGATGACTTTTACTGTCATATTTGAGTGAAAAAGATCAGTTCTTTATTGACTTTCAAAACATCATTGTGCAGAATAATGAGAAACTAATTACAGTGTTGAACTTCAAAGAGAAGAAGTGTTTTGAGTAGTAGTATTAAATGAAGCTAAGGTGGAGAAAGCAGTGAAGCAATAAATGAAATGATGAAAGGAGTAATAAATGACATTGTGAAAGGATCAAAGTTAACTGAAGTTTTAGCTAAATGTGGTTAGCAATCTCACCAACTACACTAAAACTTTAGGTAGATAAAAGCTCCCTTGAGTTGATGTACTTTATTAATTAAAGTTGTTCAACTTGTTGTCCTGGCCATGGACTCCTCTCTAGATTCCTTAAAAAAAATATCCAATTGATCATATTACCTATTTCAAATCAATAATTTCTCTCATACAATCAACATTATGATAAATATATAACTTTAGAAAATTTCACAATTGCATCCATCTAAATATTTGTATTTTCTTTTATAACACTCAATATTTTAATGTTTTAATTAAGTTTGCCATTCTATTAAATTAACTCTTATTAATGCCAAACTTAATCATGTTTTATCCTAAAAAATATAGTTTTGGCATCATCCAACAAACAAAGAATATAATTCAATCACCTTCTTCACTAACCATTTACAAACTCATGGTACTCACAACAACTTTGGATCACCAAAGAGTAAAATAAGACCTGTTGATGCAAGAAAAAAGTTGAAATGCTTGAAAATAGTCAAGTATTTAAGATTTTATAATGTAGTCAAATATTTCATATATTAACATTACTCTTGATACATCATCAAAAATCGCCTAAAACGAGTCTTAATGCAAACATGAATTAGAAACTTTCCAAATTAAATTCGGGATCATCCGAACTCTGATTTCAACAAGTTTATAGTTGAAATCAACATCTCAAGGAGACGAACACAATGACACCAAATTTGATCCAATCTGAGCCTAAATGGGCTCAAAGCCTCAAACCAAAGGGTGAAAATGCATTTGGAAGGTTCAAAGCATAAATTGGATAATCAAATGATATTCAAATATAACATGCTTATAGACGAATTAAGCGGATCGACAAGAATAATCCAACGAGCCCAAGATCACCTAATTTTGACATCACTTGGGCACATAAATGCTTGACAAATGCTCTATGATCGAGGGAGTTAATATCGGCAGTCCATTGAAACACTCCAAACATGTCAATGATCTTCTCCTTATGAAATCCACTGATGAACCTCTGGCCGACAATGATCGTCTAACCTCCATATGAAATCCACTAATGAGCTTTCCTCTGACCGCCGTCGACCGATTATGGTCATTCCGACCACTGTCGCCCGACTACTGTTATCCTAACCATTGTCGCTCGACTAAGGTCATTCCGGCCACCGTCGCCCAATTACAGTGACTCAAACCACCGTCGCCAGACTATGATTTTTCCAACCATTATCGCCTGATTACAGTCCCTCTGACCTTCATTGCACGCAAAATATGATCCCTCCCACCACTATTGCCCACCTACTACGATCCTTCCAACTTCTGTCGCCCATTGATTACGTCCCCTCTGACCATCATCGCCCGTCGACTACAGTCCCTCCGACCTTCGTCGCCCGCCGACTACTGTCCCTCCAACAACCGTGGTCTGTCGACTACAGTCTCTCAAACCGCTGTCACTCGTCGACTATAGTCCTACTGACCAAATGAACAGAACTACATTCTTTTGAGAATATTTATCATATCATTGAAGTTTTCCTAACTCTCACCATATAATATGCTCTATATGATGATACTTACTACATTGAGCCAAAGCCCTCCCCCTGAGTAGGACATCATTTGTAATCAACTACAAACATTAGTGAAATCATTTTTAACTAGGCCAGACCCCATGATTTTTTCCCCCTTTTCAGGGCTTTCCACATAAAAATGTTTCTCTTATTACTTTTGCACGTCTCTCTCTCATATATGTGTTGAATCTTCGTTCAAATCTAAAATATTAAGCTCTTTATATCTCTACTGTTGTGAATGTTCAAGAACACAACTCTAATATAATTAAAATATACTAAGTTATTTGTTACAATATTGTGTTGTTTCCCATATATAGAAAATCCTATTTGCCCCCTTTTCCTACATCTATAACTCAATATAGTCTTCAAATTCATGTTTATACTATTTATTATGATCTACAACATTGAATTCATATAATGATCAAGTTTCATTATTTTTATAATAATTTCATCATTCATCAAATATATAAAAATTAAAGAAGACAATTAAACAAAACATAAAAACTCCTAAATTTTTAATTTTAACATAGATCCCATCATTAAAAAGGATAAATACAAAAGAACAGCAACTCATGTTTGATTAAATATCTTAAAATCACAATCATATCATTATACAATAAGAATCATATGTTGTGCAATTTTTTATGCATCCAAAGGATAATCAATCGACCTTAAAATTTCTCATTCCAGGAATGCAACGCCAACACAATGCAGGGGGGATTTGGAGTGACTCCAGACATGTTAATTAAGCATTAAGGCAACCAAAATTTCATGTAAATATGTAAGAAAATAGAGAGATTTTAGTAAAAGCAAACCTAGAAATTTGTAGGATGGCGATGTGTTCTTTGCAGAAACTGTAAATTTGATTTATTGTTGCTTGAAAATGTAAATCACCAGGGTGTATTTCCAGTAGAAGGCTGACCAGAAGCATTGGCCATTCGTTCTTGCATTTCAGCAGCCTTCTCTGCCTTCATTTTCTTCACAATTTCAAGAATTTTGGGATTAAAGAAACGATCCTTAACGTATTTTTTCTCCTCTGCTTGTATCTCTTTGATGGGACTAGGATAGGGGTTTGGAGGTGGCTTTTTTCCTTGGAGGCGACAAATCTTCTTCAATTCAGAGTAAGCCTTCTTCTTAGCTTTCTTCTCGGTCATGTATTCCATCTACATAGAAGCAACAACAACAACAACATCAAGCCTTTATCCCACTACGTGTACGTGGGGTCGGCTACATGAATCCTTTTCCTCCATTGTGTCCTATTAAAAGTCAAATTCTCATTTAAATCTAATAAAGAAAGGTCGTTCCTAATATTTTCTAACCAAGTCTTTTTAGGTCTGCCTCTACCTTTCTAAATTTTAACATTTCCACCAAAAAAAAGGTGGAACATATCTTAAAGCAAATCAAACAACTTTTGATAGCCTGACCCAAAATCTTTCTTTTCAAAATAATGAAAGGAAGAATGTTTGGATCAAAATCATATGCTAAACCAAATTTTTTTACCTGTTGAATTTATTGTAGAAATTGGGATAAATGTTTGGATAATGTAAAATAAAATTTATTTCTTGGGAGAACCAACTCATTTTCTAAATCACATGATTTATAAGGAATAAAAAAGGAAGAGAGAGAGAGAGAGAGAGAGAGAGAGAGAGAGAGAGAGAGAGGATGGCATACATCAGCCACTGCCATGGCTTCCTCTTCAGTAACTCCCTGCTCTTTCAGTTCAAGAACTCGCCAAGCAAAGACACGAGCAGGAGGGGGGCTAAATCCGTTAAACCTGATCATTCTCAACAATGTTATATTTTTCACACTTTTGCCATAATCCAAAAAAATCAGAATCTAATAACAGAATAATAATTAGAATTGTATCAGTCCTAAGATCATTTGGCGCTCCATTGCCGAGAAATCTCTACTATTGTTCATTATGTGCTAGTAAAACTATTAAGTTCATAAATTTACTAAGAAAATAAATCCAATAAGTGAGATATTTAAGGGATACCTACCGTCATATATGAGGAATTCAATTCAATTTTTTTAGAATTTCAAGGAGACTTTTATGTTATTCTTTGCCACATCTTTTGGAGTCTTTTAAAATTAAAAGACAGATGACGACAACATCAAGCCTTTGTCCCACTATGTGGGGTTGGCTACATGAATCCTTTTTCTCCATTGTGTCCTGTCAAAAGTCAAATTCTCGTTTAAATCTAATAAAGAAAGATCATTTCTAACATTTAATAATCATGTCTTTTTAGGTTTACATCTATCTTTCTTAACATAAGTCAAATCTAATACCTCTACTTTCTTAACCGTGTCATCGAAAGGCCGCCGTTTTATATGACCAAACCATCTAAAGCGACTCTCTCTAATCTTATCTTCCACTGAAGCTACTCCAACCCATTCATGTATATGCTCATTTCATATCCTATCTCTAAGGTTAAAGCTACTCATCCACCTGAGCATTCTCATCTCTGCAACACTTAACTTAGAATTATACTTCACTTTTAATGGCCAACATTTGGCACCATAAAGCATTGCAGGTCTCACCACCATCTTATAGAATTTTCTCTTAAGTTTGAAGGGGACTTTTCTATCACACAAAGAAAAACAAATCTGTAAAAACCCCTAAAAGAAGGGCAAGTCAGCCGCAGAGGCAAAATGAACAAGTAAATCAGAAAAGTTTCAAATAAAATAATACCTTACAGCATCGTGATATAAAGAATCAGGATACTTTTTGAAGAACCTCTTCACATAAACATCCTCAGGCATCTCAATATTCTTAATTTTTCCATCGGATCGTGGTAAGGTTACCGGAGGAGCCCTAACCAGCAAAGTCCAGAATAAGCATCAAATCAAGAAAGAGTATTTCAGACTTTTACATTTCATTAAGAAAATATAAATGATATTAATATTACAGATTAAAGACTCTCCAGAAGAATGATTGTTTGAAGAAACCTCACTTCTAACTATAGCTTTCAACAATTTCAGCCATAGAATCCACTAAATTTGGTTTGTATGATACTAAATGATAACTTGAAGAAAGGCCCAGCAAATAAACTCCTAACTACTAAGTTGAAAGAATGGAGAAAGGTTTAACTCCTGGGTAGAAGTTATGATTGATGGTTTTCAATGAAATTTCCCACTACTCTAGTTCTAAAGTTTACAGCAACAGACAGAGATTATAATTAAGTAAACTTAACCAGTGATAGATATGAGGGTAGATGCATTACTCTTCCATGGCCTTGAGCCAAACGGGAGTTGGCCTCGCAAGACCCTTCACAAGCTTCCTCATCCTTGTCAAAAGATCTCCCCTCATGTATGACATCTCACCTGCTCTCTCTTTCCCTAGCTTTGAAGTAAACTTCAAATCTAAAAATACAAAAATAGGATAATAGGTCAATAGCAAGCTTATCAAAGCAAATCATAGTATGAAAATTCATATAAGATTAAAACATAGTAGAAGATATGCTAATCAATCATAAAACATAATAATCCCAACTCTTTGATAGGTAAAGGAGCAGAATACAATGAATTTCATACATGACACAGGACAACCCTTAAAAAAAGGCTTGAGATAACCATTCTAATCACATATGTCAGCTATGCGTTTATTGCACAACATGATCAACCCCTTTCATCAGGCGATCTTAACATGTCTTTAACAGTAGTAAGATACTATAGGAAGTTACTCACCCAGCCTTCGCTCTCAGCCTGTCCATCCCTCCGGCTTCAAACCTTAATCCCAAAAAAAATTATTAGCAAGTTTAGTATATGTAAATCAAGGTATTAACTTCATTTTATGTTAACTTGCGGGTAATCGTTTTAGAGTCTTAAGTTTTACCATAAAGCAACTGGCTATTAAACTTTTAGAAATCTTGTTAATATTAGCAATACATGTTATGATATACTATTATCCATAAAAATACCTCTAACTTCCATTTTAAAATTTTAGAACTCTTGGATTGTTGTTGTGCTCGTGCATATAAGAGATATAAGTAGTAGTTGATTTCTTTCCTAAAAGGAACCTGAAAAGCTAGAGATAAATACCTCCTTTGGAGTTAACATGGCGTGATGATGATAGGAAACACTTGTAGATCTCAAGTTTTTTCTATCAATCTTCGAAAAACAGCGAGATTTCTCCACAAAAATCCACACAAAATCATGAAAACAGTAGATAATTTGTATTATTTGATGAAAAGGAAATAGAAAATACCGAGATATAATTGATCCTCTATTCGAGAGGAGGATTGATCTCTCCCAATCTCTAGAAGCCGCTAGAGCCCAAAGGAAAACCTAAATCTAGGAGATCTCACATTTCAGCCAAATTCAAGATGCCTTAACCCTAGAAAAACAAGCTATTTAATACATAAAATTCAAAAGAAATTCTCTAAACAGTCCCTACATTCAAACTTCCTACCCAAAACCCTAAAAAATCCTTCCAAAACAGCCCCTGAAAGCTTGCGACATGCGTTCGGCACGTACAAAAAGGCGGAGAGTTCCGCCTGTTTTGCGTAAGTCGGTCCCGGCAGACTGGCTGGACCGATCCAATGGACCGGTCTAACAGATGACCTCCTTTAAAGGAGGGTAATTGTGCATACCTAATGGTGGATGTGAGAGGTACTCTTTCAAAGTGGCTAAACACTTCGAAGTGAACTAGATATTATATTCGCAATGCTATATCTACGGGCCCAAAATGCAACAAGATGGGGTAAGTTTGTGAAAGGGTGCATTCCATGCAGTACCTCCAAGCTTGCAAACTAAGAGCTTACATTGTATAAATTAGTACCCAAGCCAAGCCCCCAATAGGAAAGCATGTCCATAGACTTCCTAGAAGGACCGCTCAATACAAAAAATAATAATAAAAAAAATAAAATACAACATCCTCTTTGTAGTCATGGATCGCTTTTCAAATATGGTAACCTTGATACTCTACAAAAAGACCATCACCAATGAGGAAGTGCTAGAATTATTCTTTCAGTATGAGTAAACACACTTTGTACTTCCCTGCACAATTGTGTGTGGTGGAAATAAATGATTCCTCAACCATTTCTAGGAGCCCTGGTCGGCCATAATGGCATATAGTCGAAGAGGAGCACTTCCTTCCATCCACAAATAGATGGCCAAACATATGTGATGAACATAACAAAGTTGTATCTCTTACAAGGCTAAAACAATAAGAATGGCAACACTTGGTGTGATATCCAACCCTACTTATATTCTATCTTCAATCAAGTTGTGCGCTCTTCACTGATGAAGAGTCCTTTCAAGATTTGTTTGGGTTACTTGCCTCAAATACCATTTAACCTCTAGTTCTCCATCATCCCCACTACTAAAGATGAGAATAAAATCGATCAAAGAAAATACAAAAGTTCCTTAAAAGTAATTCAAGGATGTTGCAGAATTTATTGTAAAAAAACTCAAGTAAAAGGAAAGGCATGATTGGCATTGTGTGAGTGCTAACTTCCAAATGGGTGATCCTTGATAGCTGCACTTGGGCAAAGATCAACTCATGAGAGAAGGAAAGAAGTTGAAGTCAATTTAGTATTGGCCCTACCCAATTACTTAAAAGATTACAATGCATGCCTGCCAATTGGAGCTGCCTAAAGGTGGATAACTTCAAGCCATTAAGTCTTTTATGATTTACATTGAGCCTGGATAAGTTTTGCCTGCCATGGAACATTTGATGATGAAGCACTGCGTACTATTGGAGTTGCACATCCTCTCGAGAAGAGCACAACCATTACAAGCCATGATAAAAGTAGACTTACACATTGGCAAGAAGGGTCAATAACGCAGTGCAACAAATTGGCACACCAAGGAGGCCAGAAAAGCAACCTTCCTCACATAGAGCTATAATTTCCCAAGAGTGAAATTCTCTTTAATGGTTTAGGATAAGATCTAGTAGATGATCAGTCAAATCAACTATAATCACAAGTTGGACATCAAATCATGAAAAGATTAAAAAAAATCATTATCGTTGAAATTTTAACAGTTTGATTTCTTGATGTAGATTAAGAATAGAGTTGATTTTCATATCACACCTCTGAGATTAAAAAGTCAATCAACTGGTGTCCATAGATAAAGATGAACCAACAATCAAATGCCTAATACTCAAGAGTATAAAGCAGAAAATCTAGAATATTTGATGCCAATAAGAGTTATAATATAGTTGAGTTTCATTTTATACATCTATGGAAATTATGGCAATGCAACTCAAAGATAGTGACGACAATAAACTCAAGGTACAAATTTCATCATATTCAATATCATTACTCAAATGACTAATAATCACATTAAATTAATTTATAAGTTTGGTTGCAGAGGCACTTAACACTATCATATACATTGAGAATAAAATGTATACATTGTTTAAAACAAATAATTTTATATAAATATCTACTAGAATTTCCATCACTCCACTTATGATCTTTCTCTACAAATGTTAAAGATGATGATAATGATAATTGATAGGCATGTAACTCTCAACACCTACATGTTAAGATGATCCCAACCTTCCTAACTCAACTTATTATTTTTCTCCCAAAAAAGAGGCAAATTAATATTATTATATTCTATTTAATCTTCAATCTACATATTTCAATATTCAAAATCATTTTCAAAAAACTAATCTATCTTCATTTTCCTATCATCAACAAATATGGCTCAAACTTTTTATATGGAACCTCATAATTGACTATCATATCAATTGAAAGGAACAAATAAAAAATAAAAATAAAAAAATAAAAATAAAAAAATAATAAAAAAGGAATAGCAAGAGCAAAAAATATTGCAGCTAATAAGTTTACAAAGAAGACATGGAAATTATGTGGATCTACAAGTTCAGCTAACTCACGTGTCTATCACCATACAAAGAAAAATATTCCTCATATTTCAAGGGAAAAGAAAAGAAAGGCAACAATTCTCTCTTTAATCATAGCCCTCAAAATGATTAAATTCTGAAGGAAAAAAATTTGTTTGCAATAATGATTCAACTTCTTGTTTCTATAGCAAGCGTTTGGCTATCTCAACGGCTTATAAGTCACTTAGCCATCTTTGACAAACATCAAACCATAGTCTTACTAAAGCTCAAAACATTTCGTTGCTCTTCACTTTCCAAAACCCAACTAATTATCCCCATTCAAATTCTCTAATTCATTAATGATCCAGTGGCATACTTAATAATGATGATCTCTTAGCATTTCCAATATCATTGTATACTAATGAGCTCAATGTTAGTAGGAAGAATAAATCCTCTCTTTTTTATTTCATATGAATGGCTTTCCATGTCTTAGCATTTATAGAAAAAATCTTAGTGAAAAAAAAAGGAAGTAAAAGAAAAGAGGTAGGACAAGAATCATGTGAATAAGAACAATGCATACAAGGAGGACAGGGATAACTTATTTAGATTGAATTTAGTCATTTAAGTTTATGCTTATTAGGAAAAAAAATTAGCTTCGGATATTAGTAGACCCAACTTGATTGACAACATAAAAATCTTTTTATTCAAGATTATGTTTATTGTGGCCTTCATTTACTCAACTACGATTTTATGTTATTATTAAGCCACTACGATTTTATGTTTATTATCAAGCCAATATATTTTTGGCTCGCTTCATGACATATAGTTATGAAGCAACATAGTTATAAGAAATAAAAGATCTACACAAAATATTATTCGTAATCATAGTCATTTGAAAAGTTTAAATCCCATAAGAAAAAATTTAAAATACAAGTACAAAATATATTTTTTAATCTAATATTCTCAATCTAGCTTTGCAAAACTATAATACTTACAATCATCACAAGATGGTTGCATCCCCAACCAGGATAAAACTCCTGGTCCATATATTTTATCAGCAATGACAGATCGTTATGATGAATCAATCCTTCGACCCCATGTTCTTCATTAATACTATCCATGTTATCTAGCATGTAAGTTACCTCATTAATGTGATCATAAACTTGGTAAAAAATTTCCATCATATCATGAAACACACTTTCTATATCATACAGCCTTTTTATAGTAATTTGATTTTAATTAGAGTTTTGTCGTGTATAACCTCTTTGTACATAAGAGGTTAAGATCTATGTACTACAGTAGACTCTACTAAATGTGTGATGAAGTAAACATCCCAAGGAAAATCCATTATGTAATCTCTGACAATGCTATCACACATTAAGTGCTCTTTAACTACATGTGTCATCATGAAACAATTAACACAATTTTTGCATGGAGATGTAATTTTTTCCAACTTTAGATTTAGTATGTAATGCAAACTCAAGAAACTAAGTAAACCTTTACACTTATGATTAGCTCTCGGATAGCCCGTGCATCTTTTTTTCCTTTACAATATTAAACTTAAATGATAAAAGTTTGAATAGCAGACAATAATATGATTATCATAATTATGGCATATTCAACTTAATTAGAAATATAATTTTATGCTTCATCCTAAAGCAAATAGCATCTTAGTATTTTCAAAGATCATGCAGCCTTTTATATGGACAACTACCAATTGCAAGAATAAATTCTTCTCCATTTAAATCAAAACTACACTGAAAAGAATAAAATGATCATTTTTAAAAGATTAAGTGTCCAGAAATGTATGAATCTGTGCAGAACTCTGCAACTCTTGTACCTAACAATCCTTACTGTTATTGTTGATAATCTATCAAGAACAAAATTTCAAAGAAAAAGTCAACTAAATTATATTGTGAACCTCTTTGCAATACTGAAAATTATGGAAGTTCGTAAATCATCTCAAACACTTCATTTGGTGAATGAAGAGAGACTAAGAAAGAGTAGAACAAGGATTTAATTGTGAGATGTTACCGTGCAATCTTAACACTAATAGTAGCGCAAATAGTTATTAACTTATTTCATTTCACAACATCAAATAACATATGAAGTTATAAGGCTCAAAAAAGAATAAACTATACATACATTCTTATTAGATAAAATTTTAAGCTCTAACAAAAACTCTTTTTTAACTGTTAGGTCTATTTCCAGTTTTTAAGCGAACTATGTGGATTTCATTTGTATGGGTAAAGATTCTTGCTATAAAAAAAATGAAAAAGAATTCATATCACATAAATAATCTAGCATAAAAAAGTATGTCAAACCCTTAAATGTCAAAGGTCCACTGATGTCATCTTCATTTAAATCCAACCTCACCAGATTTGGCTCCTCTTTTTCCGAGAATTGAGGTCTTAAAAAACCTTCTTCTAAAATCTGATCGAATTCAACCTGGTCATTTTTTTTTAAGTTTAAAATTTGCAGTAATAAGCTTTGGTCTGGATCATGATTTCAATCCAAAAAGGCCAAGATTAAACCCAGTGTTATTTAACCCCTTCTCCCCAAACCCTAACAATCAACCCACCATACCTTCATAATGGTAGCTTAGAAAAAAAAAAGGTAGCTTAGAAATTACAAACTAACAATGAAACCTAACAACGAAAAAAATAACATGTCAGAAAATAAATGTTTGTTCGTAAACCATATAATACAAAATTAAGCAACAAACCAAACTCGAGGAAATGAAAATGAGAACGAAAACCAACTTCGCCAGAGATGTAGACTGCGCTGAAGCTGATCGATGAAGGAAGATATGGCCGGATGATGACTAGGAACCCTAGATGATGATGGGTCCACCGCTAGGATAAAAAAACCAAACTTGAGATTGCTCCCCTCGGTCGATCGAGGACGGCAGAGTAGTACGAGGGGGGCGCACTGAAATACGGACCAAAGAAAAAAGTGAGAAGCTTTTGCCTTCACCTCGAAACCCTACCTTTTTGTGCTCAATTAGCGTCGCAGTCTAAGAGCAAATTGAGTGGGAAGGATCGAAGAAGGCGAAGTACGATCGAAGTCTGGGAATCTGAAGAGGGAAAAAGGGCTGCGAAGAGCGACTTGAGAGGAAGAGAATGGGGTCGGCTAAGCACGATCGAAGTGAAGATAAAATGGCATAAGATTTTTTTTTTTTGTAAATTCGAGTAAAATTTAATATTATGTTACTGTCTTGGTGATTGAAATTATAAATTATTATTTGTTATTTTAAGAAAATAAAATTATAGATAATTTTTAATGAAAACTTGCTAAAATAAATTTATAATTAAACTTATGAAATTTTCTAGTAATTTTGAAACTTTTGAAGCTTAAAGCTTTTTATCAATGATTGACTTCATTTGATTAGAAATTATTCTACGTGGAGGTCAGATGTAGTCGTTTGGAGACTAATCAGAATGCGTCACGTCGGCGGTACCAAGCCACCGTACTTAAGGCAGGGGCGACGTGGCGCATTCTGATTGGTCTCCAGATGACGTTCGGCATCTGCAAAAAATAATTAATCTCATTTGACATAGCTTTTGACTTTTTTTTGTTAATTTCAAAAGAAATTACACTAAAAAATTATTGTATAAAACAGTAATAAAATTATCCCAAATGATACTAAAATGAGTTAGATAGCTGATAGCTTTTTGCTAATTATTAATGACAAATTAGTTATCATATTTGTTAACAATTAAAATTGTGTGTTATATTTATATAGAGGCTCACTAAATGCCTCCTTTTAATAATTTTTGTAATGCATAATGTTTATAATTTGATTTGGTTGGTCATTGAATTTATTTAATTGATAAGATTGACTAATCCATGAAAGTGATATATTGAGAATATATGAGACATTTAGGATGATAAACTTTGTTAGGGATGTGTAGCTATTTCAAGTTATAGGGAGAATATGAAGTTCTCTATTGGAATGTCGATAAGCTAGCAGATTGGATCATATGAATGAAAGAATTTGCTCGGTATTCTTTGAATCATTATGGCATTTGGATTTGAGATAGAGTAGAGTACTTAGTCAATATGATACTAGGCCAATTAAAGCAAATTCACACATACATCATGTATGCAAGACTCAAACACAAGACCTCTTGATTGGTAGCCAAAGCTCCCAACCAACAGATCAAGATGAGTTGTATAGTATTGGAGATATCTATATGTATTCAACTGAGATAAAATAATTGTAGTGTTGGAGATCAAGCAAAAGTTTGAAATATTGAGCATGACATTGTGCATGATGGTGAGCTATAATGCCATTAGAAAAAAGGTCCTAATTTGTATATGCATTGACCTAACTCACACTTAAAATGGATTATGTATTTGTGTCTGTTAATTTTTCAATGACAAGGATATGCATAGAAATCAAACACATTTGAGCAACAAAAGTTGAAATGGAGGGCATGTTTTTGTAGGGTGTATGCTTTTTTATGTTGTGTTCTCGTATGATGAGATTTCATATAATTTTGATGGTGATTAAAGCTTCGCTGGGACAGCTTTCTTACTGCTTTTTAAAGCAGCTTTATAGTACAAAAATTTTAATTTTTGTACTAAAAAATTGCTTTAAGAAGCAGTAAGAAAGTCGTCCCAAATGAATCTTAAGAAGCATTAGCATAAGTTGATGTCTTTATAGTTAAATGAAAGCATAAACCAAAGAAATAAAGGAAAGCTAAGTATAATTGTATAATGAGCTTATACTAGGATAAAAATTTATTGCTTCTAAAGATGATGTATAACTTGTAAGTAATCTTCTTCTAAGTGATTGGTATCATATTGAGTATGAGAAGAGGTTTTTCAGTTAATCTTCTTCTAAGAATTTCTTACGATTTTAGACACTAATTACTTTCGCAACTTGCATACAATATTAAAAGCAAAATAATTTCATTATTCATATCACATCATCACATGAAAAATCATTTTTGATACCAGCGTCCACTATATCACATGCTATAATCTCTAAATCAACAACAACAACAACATCATCATCAAGCTTTTGTCCCACTACGTGGGGTCGGCAACATGAATCCTTTTTTCTCCATTGTGTTTGTTAAAAGTCAAATTTTCGTTTAAATCTATTAAAGAAAAATCATGCATAATATTTTCTAACAAAGTTTTTTTAGGTCTACCTCTACATTTCTTAACATAAGTCAAATCTAATACCTCCACTTTCCTTACCGGTCATCAGAAGGCCACCATTTTATGTGACTAAACCATCTAAGGCGACTCTCTCTAATCTTATCTTCCACAAGAGCTACTCCAACCTTTTCCCATATATGCTCATTTCATATCCTATCTTTAAGGGTAAAACCACTCATCCACCTGAGCATCCTCATCTCCGAAACACTTAACATTCATGTCTTAATAATTTGACAAGTTTTACGCTCTCTATCGACTACCTAACGCAACACTCAGGGTTAGCGATACAGTTGTAACATTTTTTTTGGTGGGCTATGATATGGCTTTTTACTTACCACCTTGACTTTTGTGACTTTTTTGCAACTATTGGTGGTAAATCTTTTTGTTATTTTGATGGCCTTTTTTCGGATGCTGGATGCTTCTTGTCCTTTATGTGGATTGTTGGTTTTCCTTCCTTCGGATGGTTCGGGCCTGGCGTCTGGGTGGTGGTTGGAAGCTTGTGTCAATTACTGAGCCCGACTAGCTTCTTTGCCTTTTTTTTCTTTCTCTTCAATTTTAGTTTTTGCAATCTTTATTTTTATTTTGTGGTCTTGGTTGTAACCTTCTTTTTTTTTTTTTTGGATGAATAAAATGTGCTTATTAAAAAAAAATGTGAACTATATATATATATATATATATATAAAATAAACAATCACTATATATATATAGTGAGAGAGAGAGAGAGTGTGTGTGTGACTTAAATGTATGATGTAGGTGTATATCATTATCACTATCTTCATCAACCTTATCTTAGTCATGTAAGGTTATGTAGAGTCACATAAACTTTCTTGCATAATTTCCATCATTGTCATATTTAATTAGATACACATAAATATAAAAATCTCATATAAATAATGAAAAATGAGAGTTGAGTTCCTAGTATACTTAAATGATCTTCATCCAAAAGTTTTGTTTGAAAAATGAGTTTGATCCCAAGTGTTTCAAGGCGAACTTTTGTCTACTTAAGGTCCACAATCCCTAGCTATTGCTATAAGAGTTAATGAGTAAACTTAAAAAAATATTCCATATGATTTATATCTACTAAAAAAAAAGTTTATGTAAAAAAGAAATTATTAAAAGACACATAAGGATGATAAATAGCCTTAATACATTATCATAGGCTTTACTAATAATCTTAAAATATTGAGAATAAATTATTTTTTACCAACTTTAGACCTCTTTGATTTTTTGTGATTAACTTAACCATCTAATTTTTATTATGATAAATTTGACTATTACTAGATTTTTTATTTCCTAATTAAAGAAAAATAAAGCTAATTTCATATATTAAACCTCATAATAGAGTAGGAAAGATCCTTATCAAAGATAAAAGCATAAAGTTCTTGAATTTTCTACTCTCAATACTTCTAATTAAATTTGTTTAGTGAGGAAATTAATTATGTTTCTTTTATAACAAAAATCACATATTGGATTTAAGGTGCGCTTTTGTAGTAGCTAGTTGGGCCTCTTGCTTTCTCCTGTTGGCCCGTGACAACGCTAGGCACGGCCCACCTATATTGGACTGAGTATTGAGATGGGCCAGGGAAAGGACGTCAGGCCTATCACGTGGGCCCAAACAGGATGGGAGGTCACGTGCAAGCGGTATAAATTGTGGGTTCCACATCTCAGGTCGACTCGGAACCGGATCCTGGAATCTTTGTCCTCCCCGCTTTCTCTCTCTTCATTCATTTATTTATTTTATTATTATTATTATTCTTTAGACGACAAACCGCACGTCGCACTCTCATCTCACCGGTCCACCACACACATGACGCATAGCATTCTCTTCAAAAAAATAAAATAAAATAAAATAAAATTATTGGACTTTTTTGAAAAAATTAAAGATAAATGAAAGAGAGAAAATTTAATAAAAAATAATAAATAGTTGTTGAATTATTATTTTTATTATATATATATTGATTTTATTATCATTATTATTTTTGCCATCCAACCACTGTATTAAGTCGGGTCCGCATTGCATTTCTAAAATAATAATTCTCATGAGATCATTGTCGTGTGGAATATTTAATATATTTATATTATATTTTTTGAATAAATATAAATAAAACTAGATTTTAAACTCTGGGCCTTAAAATACCAGGTATTTGGTTAAATATTTTTTTTACTAGAAGTTATTTATTTTGATGAAAATTGAATATATCTTTTTTTTTTTTAGTTTGTTATGATATATTTCATTTGCATCGAAATGCAATGAGGATAGACTCATCCAACAATTGTGGATGATAACGAGTAGTGCGGAGAAAGCAGGCAGGTTAGTAGGTTTGGACAATCAACAAAGACACCGGATGGAGATAATATCTATATCAATTGATTACTCTCATGGAGTCTTTTTAGAGATGATCATATCCACCATTAACTTCCCTTCAAAATTGCCTCATATATATCCCTTTCAAAAATTGTGAGCAGAGACTCTATCTGTCAGATGTCCCATGAGCTATTTTTAGTGAGAATTATGTCCCATTAAGGCTATCTCATGGACATGGCTTCTAAATATTTTTATTAAATGCAACATTATTTATATAAAAAAATTTGTTCATAATTTAAATAGAAACTTACTTGAAAGATAAATATTCAATATATTTTTGATATGCTATACATTATTTTAAAAATTCCAATGAGGTAAAGTGTAATACACACATGTACAGTAATTCGAATACCTATTGGCCTAAATAGGGCCCCATAAAAATTCTAAATATGATGGGCTTATTTGATTTTTGGAATGTTTAAAAAGAGATATATAAATTAAAATTAGTTTGAAATTTTGATCAGGATAGAATTGCCCATGAGGAGCATTGTGACACCAAGCCCTCTGTACAACATAAGAAAATCAAGGATATTAATTAGGTGGCAATGCGGCACTAAAACATTGTCTTCTCTATTTGATGAATGTGTTTTGGAGTGCTTCGACACTAAGGTCTGTTGTTATAAAAATTTATAGAGATAGAAAATCCTTGGGAGCACATTGGTCTTGAGTGAAATAAGAATGATATTGTATAGTATGTGATACTATAAAATCATATGGTTGGTATAATATAATTAGCTAGAATTATGACTTACAATTAATACATAGTGATATAACTTTTGATACAACATGCATTGATATGATTCTGATATGATCTAAATTGATATAATAATATAAAAAACACTCTCTATGATCATACATGATTTTTGCATTCATTCTTTCTTGCATATACTTGATGCACATATATGTTTATTTCATAAGATACATAACACTAGTTTACATGATAATGATATAATGCATATGATAAACATAAACATGATGTACAGCTATAACCAAGCATAACCCCAATATGGTACAAGGAATATTATTTCACTATAAATTTTTATATTTACATGAATATTATTCAAATTACTTCTGAAGAATACTCATGGCCTCATTAATAATTTTGTATGCTTCAATTCAATGAATAAGATCAATATAGGAGTATATTATTTTTCACATCAATGAGGAGCAAAAAGGTTTAGGGTGGAGACTTCTAATAAATTTACTTCATAATAACTCTGAATCCACTCTTAAAATTTTATGTACTTAAAAAAAAAATCTTTGAAAATGCTCTTTAAAGATCTCTTCATCATTTAAGTAAATCTTAAATAGATATAAGGATTTCCTTATGATCTTCTAATTAATAATAAATTATTCAAAAAAAAAAAAGCTTGACTAGATTGATAGAGTATGAAAATTACTAGAAGAAAGAGAATAACTAGGAGCGAATTTGTCCCTTGAGGGTTCTGAGAAAGACCCGACAAATGGCTATATCAGAAGTTTATTGAATGTGCATGTGGTCTTATGGTGGTCGATATGCTCATAAGGATTTGAGGTCCCATTACAAGGAAAAATTGCATGTAACTTGAACCCCGCGTTTATAAATGTTGGAGAATTGCATCAATTAAAGGTCAAGATCTTTTGAAGATATGGTAATTTTCTTTCCTTCAAAGGGAATTTCTTCTAAGTAAGGCATAAAAGTTCATGTTTTATAACATCAAAAAAGAAATCAATAAGATAAGGTTGATTTAAGTCTTTTAAGACAACCAAAAAATTACATGTTGGTCAAGCAACGTGGAAATGATGAGTTGAACTAGCATAGTCTAAGAAAACTTAATGAGGGAAAGACTGAGGAGCTGACACATAATGATGAGGCACTGCAATAGTGTCATTAAATTATTGTAGTTTTGTGATAGAACTATATAATGATGTAATTATGCTCTTTCTTATCCAATATCCTTTTTATGAGTTGAAAGATTTGAACTTGGAATTCTTCCATGCTATGCATATGACCATTTAAATTGAGGCCTTAGTGGCCTTTACAAAATTGATTATGATTTTCATAATTGAGGGATTGATTTTTATAGCCATTAAAAAGTATTTATAGTATGTTGAGAAAGTTTTTCATAGATAACTCCAAACTATTATGCGCCAAAAAAATTACGACAATTGAGAGAGAGAGAGAGAGAGAGAGAGAGAGAGAGAGAGAGAGAGTCTTGCATCTTAGTTCTCCATGAAAATTCAATACATTCACAAATAAAAAAGAAGAATGTACAATATACAAAAGTTTTTATTCGGAAACCCAAGAAAAAAAAATCAACTATGTACCTGAACTTACAAAAGTATACTCAACTGCACTTTTATAAAAGATATTGTTACAAAGTTGAGAGACTTGAGATTGGATATAGCTTGTATATCTATAGAACCCTAGTAATCTCTATCATATGTTTAACAACAACAATCACTAATAGCCAATATTATGGTATGTTAATCATTGTCAAACCACTATCACCCAATTATCTTTGTCTGACCGCCAATGCCTGATTGTCATAGTCCATTCACCCTCATTCAATTATCATGATCTGACTATTGTCGTCCAACCACCATCACTTAATCAATGTCATTCGATTGATGTCATCTAACCTATATAGTTCAACTATCATCCATCAATTACTCTAACAATCACTACTATAACTACAAAAGATCAATCAAATGTTCCCAATTTTATTATCTCATTATCTCAAGTCATGTAGATGAGTGAACTTCTATAAGTTCAAGTACACAATAGATTATTTCAACTAGAATATTCCCTATGATTTTTCTTTCCTGAATTTTCACATAAAACTCTTAGTCTTATGTATTTTTCTTTATATGTGCATGCATGTTGTCTTTTCATGCAAAGTTAAGACATAAAAATCTACACTGTCATGAATTATCTATCACATAACAATAACATAAATGCAAACATGAGATGATAAAAATACATGAAGAAAAAAAAATTGCCTTCAATATTATTGTTATTAATTTATTATCATTGAGCTTAATAGGGCTGATCTACTCTATTCCCCTCCGAACACAACTTTATATATTTATCCCCTTAAAATTTATTATCATAAACTTTAACTATATTCTTTTTTATATATATATTTAGGTCAATTAAAATAAATTCATACACACATTATGTACACAAGACTTGAACTCAAGTCCTTTAAATTGGTAGCCAAATCTCCTTAACCAATATATCAAGATAAGTTGCATAATTATTATGATTGTGTCATTTAAAAATATTATTATTATTATTTATAAACAAATAAAAATACATTATTGATTTTTTTCCATTTATTCAATATCTTTTTTTATATAAAAAAAAATTCATAGAAGAGAGAGAAAAACAAAGAGTCAGAGCTATATTTTGTATTTTTATTTTATTTATTTCTGCGCTGTTTCAGATAATTGCGCTGAAATAATTTTCTTAATTCCATCAACAAGTAAGCATCTTACTTTAATTTTAATAGTTATTAACTAATAAATAATGAGCCAACTAAAATTTTTAATTATTATTAGAAATCATTTTTACATAAATTAAATTATAATTATTTATATAAATAATTAATTATCTTTCTCAAAAAAATTATATTAATTCTTACTTTTAAAAACACTAATACCGTCTTTTCTCTCTCTCTCTCTCTTTCTTGGCGTTCTCTTTCTCTCCTGGCTTCCTCTTCAGTCCTCTTGATCACTCTCAGCATTCTCCTCCTTCCTCACTTCTTCTCCAGCCACCGCACAGTTGAGCTCGTCGGAGGAGGCCGGGAGGAGGACGGAAACCGCTGCGAAAGGAGATTCAATCGCCGTGAGCGCAGAAGACGCAATCTATGTTCTGAACTAAGCGCAAAAGGAGATCATGGCGAGAAGGAGAAGAGGCAGCGATCGTCTTTAAATCGGAAAAATCCGACTGGTAGGATTCATCAAATTGCAGACTTAAAAACCAAACGGGAGGAAATGGGATTTAGCTATCAGTAAGATTTAAGGTTTATCATAAATCTTGGCTAAATCTTGGTTGTATCTTGCAAGTAAATATCCCCTAAATGATTAAATTCATGAGTTTTATGTATTTATTTCTATTATTGACAGGATTTGCAGAAGAAAGAATGAAGAACATTGAAAATTGCTTGGATTCCCAATTATGGCATGCTTGCGCTGGAGGTATGGTGCAGATGCCGCTGGTAAATTCTTTAGTCTATTACTCACCTCAAGGTCATTCTGAGCATGCAAAAAGCTCTGTGGAATTTGATAATTCTATGCAAATTCCCCCTATGATTCTTTGCCGTGTAAAATCTGTAAAATACAAGGCTGATTCTGTCACTGATGAGGTATTCACTGAGATAAAATTGGTTCCTTTAAAGCCTCATGAGTTGGATTATGATGAAGATGAAGGAATTTCATTAGGGATCAACCGGTCAGAGATACAGGAAAAACCTCTATATTTTGTAAAGACATTAACCCAATCTGATGCTAATAATGGTGGTGGTTTCTCTGTTCCAAGATATTGTGCTGAGACTATATTCCCAAGATTGGATTACTCGGCCACTCCACCTGTTCAAATTGTTCTAGTAAAGGATTTACATGGAAAGATTTGGAAATTTAGGCATATTTATAGAGGGACACCTCGGAGACATTTGCTCACAACTGGTTGGAGCAATTTTGTGGGTGCGAAGAAGCTTGTGGCTGGTGATTCAGTTGTGTTCTTGAGAACTGATAATGGTGATCTTTGTGTGGGGATTAGACGAGCAAAAGTTGGTCATGATTTATCTGAAGGATGGAATCATAAAAATTGTACCTTTGGGGGATTTGGTGTTTACATGATGGATGGAGATAAAAGGTTACTTAGGGACAATGATAACATAAGTGGTATCAATTCTGATCCAAACAGTAAGGGAAAGGGGAAATTGAAGGTAGATTCTGTTATGGATGCAGCAACTCTTGCAGCTAGTGGGCTTCCTTTCGAGGTTGTTTACTATCCGAGGGCTGCTGCACCGGAGTTCGTCGTAAAAGCATCAGTAGTGAGAGCTGCCATGAGAGTCCAATGGTGTTCAGGAATGAGGTTTAAGATGGCTTTTGAAACTGAGGACTCCTCAAGAATAAGTTGGTTCATGGGGACAATATCATCAGTTCAGGTTGCTGATCCTATAAGATGGCCTGGGTCTCCTTGGAGATTACTAGAGGTTTGTTGCCTGCATTATAATACACAAATTTTCTGTTCTTATTATGGATCTACTAGTGCATTTGATTGTATATATTTACTTATTTACTGTCTTGTTTTCACAATATCTGTTTATAGTTTAGTGTATGGTATTGTTGCTTCTTCGGCCCTCTTTTTCTTTTTAACTTGGTTTTCCTTTGTTAATTACACTGAGGATTTACAAATTAGGCTATTGGTAGTGTAACAATTAACTTATTCATCATTTCTTGGTGCTTCACTGGTGACATTTTTGCTTTGTTAATTTTGGTGAGTTACAAATTATGTCTGAATTGCATTAGTCATGGGATGTAATGTATGAATGTTATTCCTCCTATTGGGAAATAGATGAAACCTAAGTCAGTCATCAAGAGTGACAAAAATTAGAAATTGAAGAGGAAAGAATTTTATATAGATTCACCCAATTGATGACTATATCCTATTACTGCCGCTACATATTTCACTATGATTTGATCGAGGAGTTTTACAGCCCCAGTTCCTTGCTCACTACTAAGGCTTTGTTTGAGACAGTTTTCTTACTGCTTCATAAAGCAACTTTCATGTAAATTTTTATACATGAAAACTGCTTTAAGAAGCACTAAAAAAGTTGTCCCAAACGAAGCCTAAATCTGCCTAGCGTGTTTTCTTCATGGCGTAACAAATTAGGTTCCACAACATAAAACCCTCTATAGTATTCCCTAAATGCATAATGTGAATGACATTTTGTGACATCTACATCATTAGTAGATTATACTTGCACAAAGTGTTTTTGTTGTTGACCAACCATCTAAGCCATAAGTTATTCTTTCTTGAAAATGGCTTTGCAGGTGACATGGGATGAGCCTGATCTTTTGCAGAATGTAAAACGTGTGAACCCTTGGTTGGTGGAACTTGTATCAACCATGTCTGCCATCCATTTAGAACCATTCTCACCTCCACGAAAAAAGCATCGGATCGCCCAGCATCTGGATTCCCCATTCGATCTTCAAATTTCAAGCCAATCGTTTGTCGGAAGCCCTCTCATTCCCAGTCTCCTAGATGGCACTACCCCTGCAGCTAGCATACAGGGAGCCAGGCATATTCAACATGGCACATCTCTACCAGAACTCCACTTCAGAAAGTTGCAGCCTGGGCTGTTCTATTCTGGAATTCATTGCTTCGCACGGCCTCCCATAATCCCCACAGGCCTCATTCCTCCTAAATCTCCTATCTATGAAGATGACTCTAACTTGTTAAAAATTGGTTGTCCTCCTCAAAGTGTGGGGAATGAATGTAACAAAGAATCCAAAGCAAACAAACCTCACATCATACTCTTTGGAAAACAGATCTTCACTGAACCACAGCTCTCTCTCAGCTTAAACAGCTCATTGGATATGAACTCAGATAGATCTGATTCAGGCATTCGTCGAAACGGCAAGGGGGATGGTTCACCTTCTGATGATAGACTTCCATGGCATTGGGATTTAAAAGCAAATGATATTAGTCCAGAGATTGTTCAGTGCAAGGTGTTCATGGAGTCCGAAAATATCGGCCGCACCCTCGATCTCTCCGCTTTCGATTCATATGAGGAGATGTACAGGAGATTGACAAACATGTTTGGAATCGAGATTTCAGAGCTAACCAGCCGTATTATTTACAGAGATACAGCCGGCGCAGTTAAACACCCAGAAGATGAACCTTTTGCGTAAGTTGCTCTTAAGCTGCCATGAATAAGTTCTACTGAATTTAAATGATTGTTAAAAACTCAATATTTTACTTCTTTATGTATTGTTCTTGAGAGTTGAGGCTATTTGTAAAGTAATTTCTAACTACATCAAATATCAAAGCAAATGAAGAACAGAATTCAGTAAACTAATTGTTTTTGAAAATTTCAAGCAAATAAATGAGTCCAGAGTTCATTCCAATCCTGATTTCTTTTGTTCATGCGTAGAAAATTCATGAAGGTTGCAAGGAGACTCACAATATCAATGGATGCGAGGTGCAACAACATTGGCAAGTAATAGGAGAAATCTCTTGTTAGAAGGACAGCTGAAGAAGCAGTTTCTTCCAAGTTTGTAGTAAGTTATCTTTAGTAGGAGATACCATAAATCTGTTCTTTGGGCATTGATGTTATTTTGAGCTTCTAAAGTTAGCTCAGTATTTAGTTTCCATTCCATGCTTGTAAATAGTTCTAATCTTCTACTATTCATTTCCTCTCAGGAATATCTTTTTTATAGCTCTTAAGGATTTGTTTCCTTTTAATGTTTCTTTTAACTTCAAAAAAAAGAAAAGAAAAAAAAAAGGAAGATTAGTCTTCATTGTTGGTGTTTGTTTGCTACCTCTCTTAACTTGTGTCTGGACGACTTTAACTTTTTAGTACAAAAAATTAATGCTTCTTAAAGCAGCTTTCTAGTACAAAAAATTGTACTAGAAAGCTGCTTTAAGAAACAGTAAGAAAGTCGTCCCAAACAAAACCTTAATCTGACCATTTCAAAGATAATGTACTCTGAGGCATTTGCACAATAAAGAATGTGATGGAATTATCAATTACTATAAAGCTGAATAAAACATTAGGTTTTATTTGAGATGATTTTCTTTAGTAAAAAAATTTATACTTAAAAGATAGTTCAGAAAGAAATAAAAAAGTTGTTCCAAATGAAAACTAAGATGTGAGATTTTAATATCTTTAAAATATATTTTTCTTGCATTTAGTCAAATAACTCCAACATTTTTAAAATGCATATATTTAAAAACCATCAAATACTTCAAAGGATTTTGTTTTATAGCATCCAATTTTCTAAATTACCTATTTTGTTTTTCTTCTATCTTAATCAGATGTTTATATATTTATTTGCTAATTTTAGCGTGAGTTAATTATTTTTTAAAGAGCAAATGATACTATTAAAAATCAATATAATAATTAATTAATCTAATTGCAAATAAAACAAAATTAGAGTTTTGATAGTTAGGCTTTACTTCATTATCAACAATTAAGATTGCCAGACTTGCAAAAAATAATAATAATAATGTAAATAATAAATAATGGCAGAAAAAATAATAATTGTTTGTTAGTGCGCATGTGAGTGCCACGTGTTGCGCTTTTATGTCGGATGTAAAGACAAATTTCCATTCCATGCGGCGCAAGCTTAGATCAAACAAATTTTTTTTTCGGGATTAATTAAGAAATATTGTTATAAAATTAAATATTTAAATGTGACATAGATTAAATTGGAAGCTTCACATATCAATAAATTTATATAAAGATTGAGATTGAGGCTTACTTTATTTAGCTTAATTTATAGGTGAGGTTAAAAGGGTTATTGTAATGGAAGAAATAATCATGTTATTTGTTTTATTTAAGAAATATATTTGAATTTTTATTTTTGTTTTAGTTAAGTAAATATCATCATAATAATAAGTATTACAATATTAAGTAGAGCTAATCAGTAAGGTTTCTCCATGAATTGTATTAAATGAAATCACTCAAGAAATCATATTATATAAGGATTCTACGTAGATCATAAAAAAATTTAAAGAAAAGAGCCTTTCTCACTATTAGAGTTCCTTCTTCTTTAGCGCCCGAGCCTCTTTCTTACTGCTTTAGTCTGTTTGACTTTGTCAGCTCGCGAGCAAGGAGCAAAGGACAGCTCCTGTCCTACCTCTGAATTGTAAATTTCACCATGCCTGCTCATTTCATAGGGGATGAAAATGAGACTCAATGACATTTGAGGTTTAGTGCCTGAACATTCGAAGTAGAATGCATGATGTAAAGGAGGAGTGGATTCAGTGAATCTGATGAGCTTGCGAGCATTAAGGTGTTCTCTCCCTTAATGTTCAACACTTGGTCAAGAAAACTTCATGGTGCATGATTTTAATGAAAAAGGAGAAGACAATTGGATCCTTCTAACATGAAAAATAATTATGATGTTGCAATTATGATAAAGAAAAGAAAGTAAACACTATTATGAAGGTGGCAAACACTTAGCTCTACTAATAATTATGTTATAGCCTTTCACAGTTATTTTGCAACACAACATTCCTTCCCTTTGAAGAACTTTCGTTCTTTTTTGAATGCCTATTTGTCGATTTCATCATTAGAGATAGCATTACAACTCTTTTTGATATGAAATCACTTGGATGTTCTCATTTCTAATTGGATATATAATTTATATACGCGCTTAATCATAATTCTTGCACATAAAATTTTGTGTATAAGCTATAGTAACTAATGCCCCGATCTCAGGTTATAGTCATTGTATATTAATATAGGAGGCCTATAACATATAACTTTCTATAAGTGTATGCCCCCTTATATAAACTAACGTCACTGTTAAGATCCCCATTAAGAACATGTAATTTCAGGTAACTGATCAAATAAATAATTAGAATAATTGTGCATCTATCAGAAAACCAGTTCTATAATGTGTGCCTTGAGAACTCAAACAAAGATATCATGATCACTAGATAAAATGTGCACCTTTGATAACATTTTTAGAGTTCTTTGAAATACCGATTGTCATCAAGTTGTATTAGTTCTCAAGGAAAAAATAAGCACACCTTTTTAACTCAACTTTATTATTTAGGCAAGCAACTATGACTACGTTCTTCATCCATAGTTTTTCAAAGTGTCATAAGAATTCAACTCTTCTATAAGCATTAAAAGCTAAGTGATATTTCTCATGACAACTATTATATTTAACTTTTGAATGGAACCTTCAATGGATCCTCTTACATATGTGATAGATTGCTTAAGTCACTATAAAAATTATCCAACTTTTTAATGCAATGAGGACAAACTCTAGCATAAGATCATTATATAAAAATCATTGAGTAGGAGTTTAAGGAGTTGATCCTAAGGGGATGGGAGTTATCTATGTTCTCCATATTATAAATTTTTATTTAATCTCATGAAATATGAAGAATCAAAAGACCTCACACATTTATTAGTTTTAGGTTTATCATAAATTGGATTTATAATATTTATTGCTTTGTTTAGTATTGAAGCATCCATAAAGTCATTATCACCTACATCCTATATATCCACAACAACACCTTCATTTATATCCAATATATCCATATCATCACCTTCATCTATATCATGTATATCCACATCATCGCTTTCATCTACATTATGTAGATATGGATGTCTCATTCCAAAAAATAGTAAGATCAAATTTTGTTGTCATTTCTGTTGGTAAAGTTAGGCATCTCTAACTTCAACCTAATTTAATTCTTGATATGTTACAAAAAATCATTAGTTGGATGGCCAAATGATATTTAAATATGACATGCTTACAGTCGAAATGAGCATATCGACGAGAAGAATATAACGAGCCGAAGATCACTCAATTCTGACATCTCTAAATATTTGATAAACGCTCCATGATCAAGAGAATTACTATGAGTCGTCCGATGGAACACTCTTGTCATTGATCTTCTTCATATTTACTAGGGCATGCCACTCCCAAAAAATTATAAATAGCCTCTCATTTTTCACATGGGGGGAGGAAAAAAGGAGAAATTTTGGGGAGCTCCCTTGTCGTTGACCATCGTTGGATCTCTCCCCGACCACCGATTATCGTTGGACTTCTGCCTATTCCTCGAGTACCTCCAGATCTCTTCCTGACCACCAGTTGTCGTCGGACTTCTGTTAGTTCTCCGACTATCGTCAAAACTCTTCCTGGATGATATCAACTATGGATCTCCTCCCAAATACAGTCGCTTGTCGACTACGATCTTTCTAACATCCATCACCCGCCGTCTACGATTCTTTCTACCATCGTTGCTTCCTGACTACTATCTCTCCATAATGTTGCCAGACTACAGCCTCTCTAACCACCCTCGCCCGACAATGATCCTTTAAACCTCCATAACTCGCTAACTACAGTCCTATCGACCACCATCACCCTAGTACAGTCTCTCCGACCATCGTTGCTCGACTATGGTCCCTCCAACCTCCGTTATCCACCTACTACATTAACTCTGACCATCGTCGTCCACCAATAACGATCCTTCCAATCTCCGTCACCCACCGACTGCAGTCTCTCCGACCTTCGTCATCCGCCTACTACATTCACTCTGACTACTGTCATAACCGATTGTGATCCTTTCGATCTCTATCGTCCACTGATTACAATCCCTCCGACCAACATTGCCCGTTGACTATGAACCAGCCAACCAAACAAACTGGCCAACATTGATTCTTCCAACTCCCAACATGTAATACATTCTATATGATGTATATTTGTTACATCGAGCTAAGGCCTTCCCCAAAGAAATGCCTCATTTGTAATCAACTGCAAACCCTACTGGATTCATTTAAACTGGGATGGGCAAGACCCCATGGTCCCCCCTTTAGGAGTTTTTACATAAAAACTCTATTGTCGCTTATGAATGCTGCACTCCTACTCATTTATATGTCTATATACTGGATCTTCGTATAAAGCCAAAACACTAAATTTTATATCTCTTTGCCGCCGCGAATATTCCAGGATGCAACAATCCTTATTAATTTTTACAACATTGTATATAAGATTTATGAAACCTTCAAACAAAATACCTCTTTGAACCATCAATTTCTTGCTCCATTTTTTCAATAAATGTCTACTTAACTTGACTGTCTTCTTTCTATTATTCTCCATATTAACCAAAATTAATTAGCTAAGATACATTAAAAATTTTCAATTTTCAAATCATATGAACAGTCATAAAATCATGAAAGCTTTGAAATCGGTGGATGGAAAAAGGAAGCTAATGGTTTTGGGGAGAAATTTAAAGCACACAACAAACGAGAAATTAATTAATTGTAGCCTGTTTTGTATTGTTGGCTGTGGTACCTTCCATGTGATTATTAATTAATCAATTTAGTTAACAACGAAATTAAATAATTAATTAATTGATTTGCTTAACAACAAACTATACATTTAGGTTTTGCCCATCGATTTGACCTAAAAGCAATTGATTATTACGATCTTGCCATCCAGCATTTTAATCACTCAACTATTTTACAAAGTTTAGACATGAACCGAACAGAATTTATTCGATTCTGTTTATTAGGCATAAGAACCAATTAAAAAGTAAAATGTAAAATTATACGTCAATCTATATGATGAATTCATTTTTATTATTTAATTATCTAATTATTTTATTCAATTATTACCCAACTATAAATGAAATATCAAATTATATTCAAATAAAAAATTATTATATTCATTTTACTCATTCCCATTACTTCATTTCAATGTCACAATGAATTTTATTACAAAATAAATAGCCTCATTCTTCAGTATTTTAGATAATTATTGTAGCATTATTTTATTGATTTATTTAAGTCCACACCATAGTATAAAAAAATATAATAATGTTTAGAATTTTAAGATTTAGGTGTTCTTTGACTTGAAATAAAAGAGGTGTAAATATTCCAAATGTATTTGTTTTAAAAGTATTGGTGCTTGGCCTCATATTAAAAAAAGAAAATAAAATTTTAAAATATTTAGAATTCTTTCTTAGCTCAAATTTTGATGCCTTTGAAAATTATTAAATTTGACACATTTTTTAATATATTATAATATTTTTCATCACCAACATAATAATCTCCTGATGGCCACATCTGTATTGCCTATTAGTCACCATTATTTTTAGACTTTATAGTTTAAATTGTATTTATTTTATTTTAAATTAAATTAATAATAATAATATACAGTTATTTAATACTCATAAAAATAATTTCAAATATTTTTATTTATATTATTTTTCAATTCATTTATATTTAGCATTGCAAGCACAGCATTAATATTTTCATATATTAATTTTAAAGGGTTGAGTAGAATTTTTATTTTGGAATGGATTAGCATGTTATAAAATGAGCGGTAGGGCAGACATTCTAAACGATAGAGTTGATTTGATTGATTGATGTGTTCAGTGGGTGGCGGACAGACATTTATCATTTCCACGCATGCTTGTCTTTGACGTGTTCAAATATAAATAATTAGCCCCAATTTCTCACAAATATATATATTATAATTTAACTATATGTCAGTAAGAATATCCAAATTATTGGAAAAAAAAATCAATAACAAGTGGCTTTCTCTATTTGTTTTCTACTTCTTCTATGTGTTAGCACATTAATCTTAGTGAGACATCTTAACTCATCTTAACATATTAATATTTATAAAATGAACTATAATTAATTTGTGGATTGAATAGGGATATGAAAATCAAAGAACACTCATCGGAGGTTTAGTATGGTTGATGGGTGAATATTAGCGGTGTCAATTTTTGACACGACTCGAAACACGATCCGAACCCGACCCGGAAAAATCCGAGTTCGGGTCAACCCGAACCCGAAATGGGTCGGGTTCAGGTTGAACAAATCAACCCGTTTTAAAAATCGGGTCGGGTTCGGGTTGACCCAGCAACCCGAAATTGACCCGAAAGTGACACAAAAACTCATATTTGACCCGAAAACCCGAGATTGACCCGATTTTAACTCGAAAATTGAATATTGACACGATTTTGACCCGAAAACTAGCAATTTTATGTCAAATTTAGGTCATTCGTGTCAGGTCGGGTTGACCCGGACCCGAATCGGGTCGGGTTTATGTCCGAAAACCTGACCCGTTTTTAAAAACTGGTCGGGTTCGGGTTGACCCGAACAGTTCCGGGTTCGACCCGAACCCGACACGCTGACCCGAATTGACACCCCTAGTGAATATGGTTGGGAACCCTCTCATTCCAGATTCAAACCCCCTCTACTATAGCATCGTCTCTTTAGTGGGGCAAAACGAGTGTGAGTCCGATGCCAGTGAGTTGTCTCGCTAGATTCTGTCGATGAATTAGTTAAACCGCCAAATACTTCATTTGGAGTCACAGCAGATACAATCGTTCCAATAAAAAAAAAACCAAAAAAATCAAAGAACCCATGTGACATTGACATATGCATATCAATCAAATCAAGTTCAATATTTCAATTTAACTTTCCCACAACAAATTACACAAAATCTAATAATTAAATCAATTTGATCAATATTAAGTATTAATTTGAGACAAGTATTTTCTAAAACAGTTTTTTAGCATACAAAATTTTTTGAACTAAATTCTTTTGTACTAAAAAATTACTTCTTCAAACATTATAAAAACTGCACTAAACAAAGCCTAAGATCATTACATCTTCAAGAACATATCAAGACTTAACTTTAAGATTATTTTACTCATCTAACTTGTGATAATAAGAAGAGTTGAGTGAATGCAATATCCAATTTTTTGTTAAATTTTGAGCAAATTTAGAGGCAAATCTAGAAAAAGCTTGGAATGGACAAATAGCCACACTAAAAATTTTCTATTAATATAATAAATGCATTTGCTCAAATTCTATGAAACATTTTTCTTTTTATATCACCCCTAAAATTATGTACATCTCAATCCTATTGTGTGAAGGAATTGTGACTTTGGGCAATCAAGTCATTAATAAGAGTACACATTTTAGATATCTTGGATCTATTGTTCAGAAAAAAAAAAAAAAACTAATTCCACCCACAGATTTCACCCTCATTTTATGAAGACTTTATGATCTAAGTTCTGGTTTCCTATAGACACAATCCCTATAGTTAATTACCCCTCTCTATAACGAGAGAGAATTTTCGATTAAGGCTAATCGTCAATCAGATAAGTAGAGATACGCGTCTGTCATATAGTTGCAGCATGCCCACATATATGTCTCAATCCTATTATGCCCACTCTAATTAAAAAAAAAATGATTACACCCTATACATTTATAATTAATTCTATAAATTTTAGTAAAATTCTAAATGTTTTGAGTTATACATGACTAAATTGAAATACAATTGTATATAGAGTTTTTATTCTGTTTTAAGACTTAGTCAAATTTGAATTTCATAGCATTACATAGAGGCCGGACATACCAACTAACATAATGAAAATAGTGAAGAATTAGATAAACCATCAAAATAAAGTTTAACAAACTGATTAAACCCTATACATTTATCAAATATACTATTCCTTCACCCAAATTAAATAAAAGTGGACAGGAAAAGACACCACCATGGAAAAGACCAGGCCTAAGAAGAAGAGTACCTTCAGGCTGTAAACAGTGCTTTCCAGTACCATAAATGCAAATTTTCACCTGTTTAAATGGTGAAAGGTGATTTAAAGTTTTTAGTAATAGACAGCCCGTAAAGGAAAATAATACAAGGCAGCTATCTTTTCTCCTAAACAATGAGCAGACAGTGTGATAATGATGTGACAATATGAATATATATTACAGCAGCATAATCAGATTGGTAATGTTTGCTAAACATTCATTACTGGTGCGTAATGCCAGCATAGCAATACTACTGTACTAGTGTACTTAACACAAACTACTAACCTGCTGCTTTTATCAGCTGAAGCGTCGTCTTCTTCAATCGGCATGCCTGGCAGAAGCAGAAAATACTAAAGATGAAATTGGCTTAGAGAGGGGTATAAAAATGGTGAAATTATCCTATGCAGACGCCATCCAGAGATTAATCAGAATGCACCACGTCGCCTCCTACTCGGTACCGAGCTCGATACCGCTGACATAGCGCATTCTTGTTAGTCTCCGGACAGTAAACTGCGTTCAGTGTCCACACAAAATAATCTATCGTATAAATGAGCCAAGATGAGGGAGCTCAACTTTTGTTCAACTCAACTAAATAAATAAACCAACCAAAATTTGTTTATTATATTTGACTCGTTTAGTTATCAAGAAAAACAAAAGTTGTTTTCAAATACAAAGCCAATGTAAGAGATTTTAAATTAAAAATTTATATATCACCTCAAATGTTTGTTTATTCATACAAATATATATAAATATCAATGAGTTGTAGTGAGATAAAGATTTATTGTTGTTATATCAATGAGTTGGTATCGAGATGAATACAATCAAACACAGACAAAAAGTTTTTTTTTGCTACCCTAAATGGTCTAGCAACTATGAGGGGTTTTGCAAGTTTTGCCAGATCTTCGAATCCCAACTAAGATTACGTTTGGGTTGGCTTTTTTACGGTTTTTTAAAGCAGCTATTTAGTAAAAAATTAAAATTTTTATACTCGAAAGCTGCTTTAAGAAATAGTAAAAAAGTCGTGTCAAACGAAGCCTAAATCAATTTATGATTTTGCACTTAAATTTAAATAAATAAATAAATAACAACAACTAGCCAGGCATTTCATTTTCCCTTTCCAAGAATTAGCAGAAACTCCTATCAACGTAGGCCATTCCCTTTCTTCATATGTTCCTCGATCCCTACCTCTTTTTAGCATAGAAAGATCATTGAATCATATCAAAGACGAGAAAATTTGCATAGCTGAATTCTGCTAACAGCTACGATACATTTTTTTAAAATCCAACACCAGAGATTCAGAAACTTTAAAAATCTTTTGAAACAGATAATTAACAACAATTTGTTCTTAGAATTCTCAAAGTGTAATCAGTAATGGATAATTAAGATTTTTAAGAACATGTTAAATTAGGGTAATTGCTTGCATACTTTGTTCTTCTAATGAACCCCGACTCTGTTTCAAGCACTTTTTAAGTGATATTAGGTTCAAAAAGCAGCAAAATTTGATAGCGAACGATGCTTACATGATCTGTCTTAGCCAAAGATGGTCATGATCACAACCTAACAACCTAGGTGAGTCAACTACAAGATCAAGCTGACACCAAAGAGAAAAAAAGGCAAGACTAATGCTTGGTAAAATTGCAGAAAAATAATGAGTGTGATGTTAGTTTTGTGTGGAATCTGATTGTATCGATCAACCGGGTTGTAATATTGCCTCAGACCTCAATTCAATCTATCAGGCTCGTTGGGAGTTGTAGGGGATTTTCCCTGACTAGTGTTCGGGTGTTTTGTACTAGAAAAAAAATTTCATATAGCAAATTGGCAGTGTACCTGAGCGCTCTAGCACTATATAATTTGGTCAAAAAAGACAGAGAATGGAGCGCAGCGACGCTGTCATACAAACATGAGACAGAGATTTGCGGGCCATGATGCACCAACTTGGCATCGCAGTGCTATGAGGCGGACAAAACTGTTTTTTCTCTCATTTTTCATTAAGGGTTGCATCTCTTGGTAGTTGTTTTGTATATCTTGGTTTGTTCTTGCATAAAAATGGTGCTAGAGAGAAGAGAGAATGAGAGAGTGAGACATAAGTGAGATATGTATTATTTCTCCCAATTTTCATAGTGAATTTCTTGATGTGATGTGGCTCCGTAGATTTTTCCCGTTTTCAGGTTTTCCCACATTAAATCCTAGCATTCTTTCTTTTTCGCGGCATTTTCTATTTCTTGTTTGTTTCGTGCGTGGTTTTACTTCTCCTCAATATGTGATGCAGGATCAGTTAATATATTTATTTTGGTGAGAAGTTGTTTTTATATTATAGAATAATAAAAAATGGGAACAACTTTAAAAATGATGCATAAATCTTGTAGTTCGTGTAATTACAATTGAGAGTTGGAGTTGAGGATGATATTGCAATGGTTTGATGACAAAAACAACAAGAAACTAAGCCTTTATCCCACTATGTGGGGTCTGCTGCATGAATCTTCTTCTCCATTATGTCATGTAAGGAGGAATTATTACGTGCGAGCGCCGAACTCCGGAGGCTAATCAGAACGCGTCACATCACCAATACACAATTGTATATTGGTCCAGTACACAGCTCTGTATCAATTGTGTATTGATGATGTGGCACGCACTGATTGGCCTCAGGACGCCGTTTGGCATCCGCACATAATAGTTTCTCCTTGTTAAGAGTCAAATTCTCCTTTAGATTTAATAAAAAAATATTATTTCTAATATTTTCTAATCAAGCCTTTTTAGGTCTACCTCTACCTTTCTTATTAACATAACTCAAATTCAAAAAATCCACTCTCCTAATCGAGCCATCGGAAGCGATATAGCAGTGGTTCAATTGATAAAAAATTAAAGATTAAACAAATATTAAATGGCTAAGGAAAAAATATTTTAACATCAGTATTTAAAAATTAAAAAAGTTCAAAACTAAAACATATGAAACGTAAAATGAAGTTATGGGTGAGATAAAGGGAATGGAGACTTAAAAATACTATGCCAACAACAAGATTCACAATGAAAGCGATTTTTTGCATCAAGATAATTAATGAAATAAATATAGAAAGTAGAGAAAGAATCTTCAGATCATTTTTGTGATGTTTTATGACCATGTAATTTGAGAAATAATTTTGACGTATTTAATGAATGAAATGTGCCAAATAAATGTTGACAATACGAATATCTATGGAGTATTTCTAGTACTATAAGTGATAGTAGAATAACCAAAGAGTTTTTTTAACAATAAAATTATATCAAAGATCAATATCAAATCTTAGTTCTTTATATTGGCTATGGAGTTTTGAATGATATTCAAATTGGCCTACCGCAATTAAAATGAGTGCAAATTATGCCAAAAACCCAAATAGTCGGAACAAATGTCATTGACATACACTATACATTTTTAAGCTTAAGTTTTGAGGCTTGGAGCAAAAACTCATTTGCTCAGACCTCAGGTTAACGTGGAAAAGGCTTATAAAAAGTTAGATTTGTTTAAATATTCCACCTCACCCGAAATCTTGGATTCTGCAATGACATTTCACATGTAAAATAAGAAATTCTATAAATGCACGGTATTAAGTAGAAGATACGCTAGGATATTAGATATATTTAGACGTGGGGAACTTACAATCATTTCTAAATATCCTAAAGTGATAGTAGTAATATTAATTAACATATGTGCTGAATACAATAATCAAATAATAACGACCTTAAATGCTTTTATAATACAATAAGATGGGATTAATGAGTGCCATGACCACTTGGTTTGACTGCACCCACCATGAGGTAAGATAGTTAACGGAGTGGCAAACAAAATGGTAGTTTGTAGGATGAAGAACATATTGTCAACTTATGGATGAATTGGATAATTTGTGTATGGCCTACAGAGTTTTATAAGTTTTGAAATATATGCAAAGAACTTATTTTCCAAGAATGATTTTAACAGAATGTATATCACTGCCCCGATGAAAACTAAAGAGACATCCATCTACACACTTTGACAAGAGCTATAAATTTAGGCTTCATTTGGGACGAATTTTTTATTCACTTTTAAAACAGTTTTTTAATATAAAAATTTTAATTTTTAACTAAAAAGTTATTTTAAGAAGCAATAAAAAAGTCGTCCTAAACGAACCCTTAGTCATCCTCACATCATGCTAAGCTATGATTCAATGTTGACACTCATCCATCATCCCTTAAATCACGTTTCACATGCTAATAGATAGGGCAGGTGGTACATAAATAGTATGCTTCTATAACAACAACAGTACGCATGCTGCATCTCAACCCAAGTAAATAGACTGTTATTAGGAAAACAAACACAAAAATTGAAGTTTATCATGTGCACTTGTCATTTTCTCAAACAGACTACTTTAACATGCACAAGGAACATATAGGAAAACAATTTAAAATTTCTTAAACTTGACCTTCTTCTATACCAAAAGAGATAAAAAGGAAATTCTATTTAAGTGTTAAAAAAAAAGAATTTCTAGAAATATTCTTATGAGACACTCTTGCCTGGATAGGATACACTGATGTGGTGCGTGACAGAGGGGCAACGGGACAAAAGTTAAGTCTTATAATTCTATATTATCAAACTCGAGGTTATACATGATAATAATCACACAAACAGGAAAATAGAACAGCAGAGGAAGAAGCAATACCAAATTAAATGTTTCAACATCCTCTCCAGCAAAATCTAGCAACGAAATTTTCTGTTTGAACAATACATGAAATTCAATACAAGAGAGTGATGGCATGCTAATCCTCCTTTGTTTCCAACTCCAAATTGTCAAATATTTCTCGATGCCCAATAATATAGGACGACTTGGCATCCTCATCACAATTTAAAGGTCTAATCCCTATTTGAAATCACCGCATCCATGATTTCTATGATATAAAACCACCATTAAGATCCAATAAAAATATAAGCAGATGAAATTACGGAGTCTATCCTCCCGATTGCCATTTTTTGCTTCAGCCGTCCCCTCTCAAAGAAAAAGGATAGGTATATCAAGTTATGAAATTATTGTGCATAAAGTTCTATATATCTCTACTCAAGGATGACAAACTAAAAAACTACATATAGTGCAAGAATACCTACGGATAGAAATCTTCATCATAAACAGGTGTTACTGCGACAGAATTAGCACCCTTGGGCCCGCCCCTCTTGAGACATGAAAAGCCACCCTTGGGATATGAGAATCCATTCTCAGAATATGAAAAGCCACCCTTGGGATATGAAAAGTTACCCTTGGAACAGGAAAGTCACACTTGGGACCCTCCACACCTTTAATTACGTACCATAGAAGTGCTAAGTGCGGT